TAGTTGTAGGAAGATACAATATCAAGGGACGCATCTTGTTCTAAATGGTAAATTATTGGCGTAAATCGCACTATCATATGTGCCAAGACGACCAAGGCACGATGCCATCGAAGCTAGCACGCTACCCCTCAATTCATGCACCACGCGTATCTTGAATTGTTTTAGGCCGCATCATGAATCTCAGGATATCGTATGTTTTCACGTCTTCAACCCCTCGAGGTTACACCGACTGCTGCGCTGCTGTGCTTAATTACCTCAACACGAAATGGCCAGAGAGTTATCGCCAAGTGCAGCTCCGTGTAAACCATCAGCCATCCATCTAATCAATAGCACACGTGTGCCCAATCATCAGAGCGCTCAGATCTCGGGGACCTCGAAGACTTCTGGAAAGTCAGCAAGTCCAGCCGCTCTCTAAGCTACAGGCGAATAAGATTCAAGGCAGGAAGACAGAACAGGAGAAGGCAACCTCGTGTCCGGAGTTAGTCGTCGGACATGACTGGAGGCACACATAATCTCGGCGAGTCATAGATTACCATTGCCAAGGAAGTGAGCTAATCTAGCAAAGGTTGTCTGTGTTGTCCTTGATATCTGCAGATAGCGTCGATGACATCGCAGTCTCTCGGGTCTCGACCAAAGTCCTCTGGGTGACTCGGCAAACTAGGCTGGAAAACTCATCCCTATCCTGTCCGCAGCTTACGAGTCTGCCTTGGCCACCTGGTAATAGGCTCTCCGTGGCCCTTCATCATTGATTGATGACTGACTAATTCCCCGATCTAGTTGTGGGCCTTGTACCATCCATGGCCGCAGTCATTTCCCCATTCCTCGCTTTGTTAATGAAGACAGAGTAGCTTCATCCAGCCATCCTATTTAAATCTGATTTTATTTTGGTATTCCAGGTAACTTGGGGAAAAGCATTATTTCAATGTACACTTACGTTATATGACGATCGAACTGCATCGGAACGATAGGATGCGATTAGCGGTCTGTCACCTTTGATGACGAGAAGCCACCTATCAATAGTCACTACATAATTGTTAAGAATGAAGAAGTCAGTTTAAGTAGACTGCAGGTATGTATCATCTTCTGGAAAGGAGCTGGTCTGACATTTCTGTGGAAGTCGATAACAGTGCCGATGGTGAAATGGCTGTATCCGCCATACGTTTACTTAGGCAAATGGCGATATGCCTCGTTTACGGACGACTTCATCGCGAAAGAAGCACTTCCTATATCATGAGTAAAGAGTGGATTGAGATCACTATCTAGCTAGCAGTTTGGATGACAATCATGAAATAGAAATATCAGATGTTGGTCGACAGATTCGCACCACAAATTAGAAGCATACAGGAAACGCCAAACACCATTTAGAAACCAAGGAATAATGAAGTTAAGAAGAAAAGAAATCATCCTCCGGGGTTTCCAATGAGTAAATCGCTCAAGAGTCCCAAATAGCGCCATATGCCGGAACACCTCTAGTTTCAAGGCCATAAACAACCTTCTTCGTGATCTTTTCGTTCGCAATGATAATGACAGCTTCAGCGTTGAAGCTCTGAACAAGGTTGTATCCCATCTTCACCAGGTCCGGGCGGCCCGATACCTTAGTGTCGTGAATCACTGCGTTGGGGATCTTTTTCTTGATGGCGTCGAGCAAAGGCTTGCCAAACGTCTGCTCGGGCTTCGGTGTGGACCAGATCAACTGCGTCGCGCAGCTTGGCTGCTGAATGTGGCCAAGAAGAGGCCCAATGCCGGATCCAGTGGCAATGACCACGACGCGATTGAAGCAAGTCGCGATGCGCATGACACCACAGGTGGGGACACCACGAACCCATATGTGGGTGGGGGGCTTCTGGATGCAGTTTTTGGTCCAATCGCCAGCGTTGGAGACAACCAAAGAGAAACCCTTCTCGCGGTGCTCGACCTTCTCAGGCGCCGGAATCGTGGCAAACGAGTGCCACTCCAGAAGTGGCCTTTGAGAGAGTCTAACGAAGCTGCCGTTGACGGGGACTGTGTAGTCAAAGTGCAGTCTCACTGCGTGGTCGGAAAGCACCTCAGCTTCGACAGGAACTTTCTTGAGGAACAACCAAGAGGATGCGATGCTCATGGTGGCAACCGCCAGCATCCAGAAACCGGGAGTTCGAATGCATGCGTCGCCCAGGGACATCTCTGCGACCTTGCTGTCGTTCGCGCCGAGGACAACCTGGACCCAGAACAGCCCCAACATGGTCCATCCGACGAAACGATGTGTCTTCTCGAAGAGGTCGTGATGGGTCTTGCGAAATCCGGGCCAAGCAAGACCAATAGTGATGGTGAACAGACCCGTGAGAAGCCAAGACACGACCTTTGAGGCCACAGACTGGTGGCCCCAGTTAGGGCACTCTGTCAGCTGGCAGACCTCATCGCTGATGTTGGAAGCCAAAAGCCAAGCGCCGGCAGAAACGGCAGCGCCCGAGTGAACACCGCCGAAGTGGAAAATCCTGGCGCAGCGCTTCCTGATGGCGAGGGGCCAGGACTTTGGCACGTTGCAGGTGATTGTGTAAAGCGCATTGATGACAAAGTCCTGACGGGCGAGGACTGCGACGACCAGGTTGATGGCTGTGAGAGTGCTGAGCCAGTTGCGCTGGAACCCGGCAAAGACGAGTGCGATGACGGCCGCGATGTTGAAGAGACCCACGATTGTGAAGAGACGGCGGTAAACGATGGCGATCCGGTGAACGAAGCCGCGGTAGGGACGGCCGAGGTTCTTTCCGGGGATGTCGCCGTTGAGGTCGAGCTTCTCGTCTGTCTCGGTGAAGCTGGAGGCGGAGGATTCGGCCTTGAGGTCCGTGGTGGTAGAGTTGCTGTCTGTAGACAGGGACTCCTTTGAGGCGGTCTCCCTGATGGTGACATCGGCGACTTCCTTCTTGTCGGTATCGCCAGTCTCGGTGACCATGTCTTGAAGCGCGCGCTTGTCGACTTTGCCATTTGCAGTCAGGGGAAGGGCGTCAAGGAAGTGGAACTTGGTCGGGATCGCGTAGTAAGGCTGACGAGCCCGGACGTGGGCTTGTATGGTGTCGAGATCGCAGTCCTTGGGTGCAACAAACCCGTGGATCTCATTGCTGATGAACAAGGCGGTGGCCTTTGAAACAATGGGACAAGAGCTGATTGAAGAGGTAACTCCGTCAAGCTCGACCCGGAAACCCTGCAAAGGATATGTTAGGAACCTTTTTGTATGTTTGAGTTTGGAGATGCGACTTACCTTAATCTTAATCTGGTCATCCACTCTTCCGAGGATGTCAATGGAGCCGTCCGATCTCCAGCGTCCGAGGTCACCAGTGTTGTACATCATAGACCTACGAGAGTATTAGCAGGTAGATCTGAGTAGCACGATGGATGTACCCACCCGTCATTAGCAAAAGGGTCCAGCTTGTATCTCTCAGCAGTCTTCTCGGGCAGAGAGACATAGCCCCGAGAGATTCCGTGGCCACCAGCCCACATAACTCCGGCTTCTCCAACACCGAGAGAGTTGCCCTGCGCGTCAAGGACGTAGACAGTGTTGTTTGGTGTAGGCTTTCCGATTGTCAGAGCTTCACCCGGGCGGTGAAGATGCATGGTATTGACAATGGTAGTCTCCGTAGGTCCACAGCAGTTGTAGTAGGTTGCGTGGGTGGCCCAAAGGTCGGCGAGCCTATCATTATTCTCGTCAGTATTATTCACTTTAGAAGTGCAATGGAAGTCTCACCTCTGAGAGCTAGGTTCACCTGCCGTCGCAGCAACTCTGATGTTGGAGTACTCCCGAGGATCATACTTGGCCAAGATGCTTGGTGTGCAAATCAGGACTTGAGTCTGTGGGTTGTGTTAGTCTCGACTTGTTGGATGTTTAGTCTTAGTTATCTCACCTCTCTCAGACACGGCTCCCACTTTGAGCCTCTCAAGACGAGAGTTCCTCCGTTGCAGAGACATCCCAGCATCTCCCATGCAGCTACCACAAAGTCAGCATCAGCTATTAGGGTATTAGCAACTAAGACTTACCCATATCAAAGCTGATGTTTAACACCTGACCCACCCGCGTTCCAGGTGAGATACCCAGGCCACCAGGTGAAAGGCACACGAGGTTAGTCACATTTTTGTGGGTGACATCCACTCCTTTGGGAGTACCCGTAGTTCCTACAGAGCCAGAGAATTAGCTCAACTGTCTTCTGAAATCTAAATGGACGATGACATGTTCGCTTACCCGAGGTGTAGATGACGTAGCAGCCATGGTCTGGTTGGGCCAGGTCCTGGATAGGGTAGGATTGTGAAACCTCCTTATCTTTCTCCGAATCTTCATCAATGACAAAGGTCTCGCAGGGAACACCGAGAGTCTCGAATCGATGCTTCGTCGACTTGAGACATAAAACGTGCTTGCCGCCCGCTTGTTCCAAAACAAACCGTAGTGTAGAGTCTGGCACCACACCGCCGTCGAGAGGAACGTACTGGGCACCGCAAGAGAGAATCGCAACTATGCCAACCAGCATGTCAATGCCTCGCTTTACGACGAGTGGCACTCTGTCTCCAGGCTTGACCCCGAGTGTGGTCAGTTTCCTTGATAGCTGGTTGGCTCGAGTAGCAAGATCACCGTAAGTGATCTCACGAATCTGCTGCGACGACAAGTCACGCCCTGCGGTGACATCAGGATGAGTCTCTGCATGATGATAGAATGCGGCCGTAACAGTGGGATAGGTGGACTTGATTCGTTCGCCTTGGGTGAAGGATAGAGGGGCTGGCCCAACCGGAGTTGACGCCGAGTCTTGAACGATAGTGTTCTGCATGGCTGCGGGACTAAAATAGACTGGAGGAGGGAACTGGCAAGGATAAATTCCAAATGAGAGCCAAATAATGACCAGACTATTCCAAATCCTAATAGATCTGAAGGAGTAAATGCTCCTGTTGCTTGTCGACTCGTCACCATGTTGGCGAGCGCTCGAGACTTTAAATATCTTCGCCAGCCTCCTTTGGGGCCCCTCGACAACCTCGACCCCCAATACCCTGACAACGCAAGTCCTCATCCTCCTCCCTGGACCGGACGCAAGAGGGAAAATCTCTCACCATCACGTACATCCGTGTTGAGTTGCATCACACCCAAGGTCATCCACCGGGGTTGTTGCGTGAATCCTCCCACTGATGGCCAGCAGACATCTTCGAACTCCACCCGAGCTACATCGAGAGGTTCGGACTGACACATCAAAATTCTCCTTCCGCGTTGAGAAGACCTCGCAGCCATCTCAAGAAAGAAACCATGTCCTTGTCAGGACTGCGGGTGAACTTGACCGCTGGCTCTCAAACAGGAAAGTTGTCGGGGCCGACGTGCGCGCATACATCCATTCATCCATCCATCCATCCATCCATCCATCTCATCACATCCAAGCATCGATAACATCCTCTTCAGGTGTATCAACCAAGTTGGCAGAGTCCTGCAACGTGCTGCAAGGCCCCACCTCGCAACTCGTGGGACCTAGCTTCTAGGTGTGGTGCTTCATGCAAGCACTTTCAACCTAGTTGCAAGTTACCGCGTTAATCTTTACAACCAAGTCCAAGTCCACAAATGACATCGATCTAACGCCCACGGCCCGGCCTGCGGAGTGGGCCCTCGACTGCCGGTGGGCGGGGTGGAACTTGGTTGTCACGATTAACTACCTTCTCGGCCGAGCTTAGGAACATCTGGCCGCCGGAATACGAGACCGCAAACGAAAGCAACGCAGCGTTTCATCGCCTGCTGGCTACCGACATAAAGGCACTAATCACTGATCAACGATCACTGATCGTCCACTCAGTCGCGAGTAACGACCTTTGGGGCCTCATTGCCTTCTGCGGCGCAGCGGGGAGCTCGGGATCGACTCGGAGGATCCTCGAGGCTTCAAGGATCATGTCCTTGGAAAACGAAACCACGAGAAACGGCTCCAGACTTTCTCCAGCTGAGACCTTGTGACCGACGAAGCTGCTCTCCTCCCCTCTCCCAGGTCCAGTCTTTGCGCAAAAGGCTCTGGCGACGGGCTAGGCTTCATCAGTGAGTGGAGGCAGGATCCAACCCCCAGAAAGTCCAGATCGAGATGGCTCCAGGATGGCTGCGACGCAATCTAATCAATCTCTACGAGTGGATTCAAGTGGTGTGATTTTCTGCCCCCGCGATCCGTGGGCAGCAACTGGGCCAAGCCTTGAAAGTTGGTGTTGATGCTGGCTGGCCTTTCTCTTCGTCGAGCCGGGCCCCGGTGCAACCTATGGGGCCGGGCAACCGTGGGGGACGATTTAGACGCGGACAGGGCGATTCCGTTTGCACTGCGACGTTCCGGAACTATCCCTTGTTGAGAAGCTCTATGTGCCGATGCAACCTCACGTCACTCAACCGAACGCAACCAAAGGACCTATCGAGAGGGCCCAAGAGGTGGCCAAGACACGGGAAGCACATCATACAACCACCTAAAGACGCGGTTCCCCTTCTTCGCGCCTAAATTCTACAGGTCCATGTCACATGTGAGCGAGGCACAGTTGTTCAAAACCAGAACTTGGCAGCTTTTCGGGAAGCTGCTTGTGGATGACAGATGCTGATGTAAAACCGTACAGGTATCGCTCCTAACCGGTTTCTGTCAACCTTTTCTTGACGCTTTCTTCTTCCATATTGCGTGGAAAGAGGTAACATTGGACTAGGCGAAAACAGCGCAAAGCGGGTGATCACATTGCAGTTGCCACAACGAGCCATCTCCTCCGAGCCGCTGCCGCCGTCTGCATCGGAAGCCCGACCGTAGTGGGGTCACGGAGCTGGGGGTGGGCCGGGGCGACCAGGACTGGATTCCTCAAGGTTGCTGGTGTTTTGAACTTTTGAAGAGCTTCACACACGCACGCGCGCGCGCGGAAGATCGGGAGACATCGCAGGGCTTCGGTTGTTGGCTCGTTGGCCTACGACGTTGTCCTGCACTTTGTCAAGTTCTCGTCAGCATCTTCAAGGACCGTTTCCCGCGGGAATCCATTGCGATCCTGGCCTTCGGAAGCCCTGTGACGTTTACTCCGAGTCATTTTCGAACACGCGGGATAAGTTGTGACGTCGCTTCGTCAGCTCCCCCGGTCTCGAACACAACCGATGTCGGACATTTCCTCACTCAAGGTGGCTGGGATATTTCTGTTGCTCCCCTATAACGCGTCAAAGGGTTGTATGGCCTGCAACTGTAGCAAAAGCCTCAATTCGCCAAGTCGGCGACATTGTCCGAGTATCAGACGGAGCAGGACCGGTCAGCGTAGGGTTCCTTGGCATGCCAGAGGTCGTGTCGGACTTCGGAGCAGGATCAGCTCGAAGTTAATCGGTCGGCGATCAGATCTCAATCAGAATTGGCAACTCTAACCTGCCCATGCACACCTTGTTTGGACTTCCCATGATCTTCACGTGCTGTATGAGATAGCATCAACTTGGTGTTTTGCCCGGTGCTCAGGAAGACCAAATTTTGGCCCACTTGGCACGCAAAAGGACTTGAAGATCGCGCGCTTGTCGGATTCGCATCAACTAACGTCATTTGCGGCATGTGTGCAGTATGAAGAACTGGTCTTGTCTTACCCTCCTGCCGCATCTAGCAGCTGTTTGTCTGTGTCGTGCATAAGCCTCGGAGCTATCCGCAGTGCTACAGATCAAACTTGACATGGCTTGCATACGGTGCGGAACATGTGGCAAATCATGGAGCATCCATCTTCCCCTTCACGGTACTTGAATATGGAGACCCTGGAGCTTGAAATAAAGTCCGAGGGCCTTTTGCAGATCTTCCAGAACAGGGTACGGTGCCTGACATATGTTGACACCTAACTAAAGGGGTGTAGCAGCAGATCGTTAACCACGCCTAGCGGGTTTCAATCATATACGCATAGCTTTGAGGTTGTACAGAAACCTATGCCTTATCAAGACTCAGAATTTGTGTCATTTCCGATACCATATACGCCTTCAGATGAACAGAGGCGATATCTGAAATGGGCTTTCTGCGGAAGCACATGCTACCAAAGTAGGCAGGAACTCCCACAAACTGTACGGTTGGCGTGGCGAGGCAACAATCATTTGTCATGATGCCACAGACTTCGAAGTCATCAATGCAGGTAAAGTAGGTTTCGAGGTAGTCGGAATTCAACTTCCCAAGTCTAGAAGCTGCTACTGTGTCCGAGGAACTTTTGAAAAGTCGCAAATGGTTTTCACTGGTGTTTCAAGTTTCGAGGTCGCCCTTTTGCTCCTTGCGCAGTATGAGGAGAATACATGTATCGTGGAGAGCGAAGCAGATTGATATCGATTTCTGGTTCAAGGGCTAAGCAGGGAGGACCCAAACAAAGGGATCTCAAAGCATTTAGGCCCTCTTTCCCAGGCAGCAAACGGAAGAATAATCAATAACAAAAGGCAAGGCAGGCAGTACAGTTCGGATGAGACTGGGGCCGCCTACCTAGGCAGGAATAAGGCTTCTTGTCTACCTACGCACTTCTTCCAGAACAAATCAACGGTCTCCATTGTATCCCACAATCAAACGCAAAAAAGTGAGAATAGCTTCACCAAACCTACAAACAGATGCGATAGTATAAGCATGGAGGGTACAGTGCCCACAGCAACTCTCGCTCCTTCCGTTTTCCATCGCTACAGACGGCCCCATCTCATCAAACGCCGCATCCGAGTTCCGAAAAAGAAGCACCGCCGCTACACTCGATCCAGAATATTGCCAAAACAGGAAAGTCACATTCTCGCGATAGCATCTCGAGATAGCACGCCTAGCATCAACATGTCTCGTTCCAGCTCTGGCAAGGTCAGCGCTTCCTCGGGTTCCACGGCCAACCTCAACCCGTCCGCTCAGCCCTTCACCCCCACGCGCGTCGATAGTTCTCCTACCAGTACTCCAGTTGATCACGGTATGTATATGCACATGCCTGCCAAATACGCACATCTCAATCCTTTCATCCTCACATGAGAGGCTTCATTCCCCCGCGATTTCACGTGCCAGCCCCACCCCCACCGTTTGGCCACGTCGATCAGCAACCCGGATCTTCACATGGACATGGTGCCATCCCACCATCTTCATCGCAACATAACGCTAACCCCCAAACCGCAGGCGATCTTGCCTACCACCGGGCCAAAGCCGTTGAGGCTGCGAACGGGGCGGCAGCTCAAGGTATGCCTTATCCTGGGTACGATCCTACCCACACTCTTCAGCCTCCATACCCGCCTCACCCATTCTACCGTCCTTCCCATTACGGCGCGCCTCATGCGGCTCATGCAGGCCCAATGCCTCCTTCTCATCCCGGTCTCAAATTCCGTCCTGACAGCAATCTAGGCTCTCGGCCTCCCGGCTACGGCCCTGAAGATCATCGCTCTTCTCCAGTCGAACCCGCAGCTGCTGCTGCTGGCTATTCGACCTACAACCTGTACGCTCAATACTTCCAACACACCCCTCCCGGACGTTCTTCTACGCCTGGTTCGGCCGGTCTCTCGGCCGGTCCCTTCAACCCTACCACCCCGCCCAACCGGCACAGCAGACCCGGTCAAGCTGACCCCACTCCGCCAGCGCATACATTTTCCGATGATGGCGAGTTTTACCCCGGCACCGACCCACGCCTGAAGAACCGTAACCGCGCGTCAAACTCTCAGTGAGGAAGTTGAGAAATAAGGGGGAGATCGTCGAGTTGGAGGTCGTACCGTTACTACGTTATCAGGCTGCGGATGGTTCCTTTCGTTATCTCATGGATGTCGACAAGTGTTGCAGTGAAAAGGCGATGAGGTCACGTCATCGGATAGCAGAGATTCGCACTTGAGCTTCTTGTCTGTCAGGCGTCAACTATGATCAATACCCAACTCTTGCGTTATGGCTTCTTCTCTTTCTACGGAGTATTACAAAACTTGGAGCCTCATGGAAAGGGTAGGGAGATGCTAGCAGCATTGGCAACGGATGCTGAAACTGCTACGCGTATTTCCGAGGAATTTCCTCCATGCTGGGCAGCTTGGTGATTGCCCCATTTCGTCAAAACTTCGGCGTTCTCAACAATGACCCTTCTGCAAGGAGGCATCAAACTTCAGTTCTTGCAGTGTAGACATCAGCGGTACTGAGTGAACATCGGACTCCATGCTAGTACCACATAGACTGGGAGTAGGCCAGTCAAGAGCCCTACCATTAACTGATATCATACATTTCGGTTGAACTAAACTTTAATGAAATCCAGTAGGCATCTAATGCACTTTCTTGATCCTGGGTACAAGAGCAACTTCTAACAACAGGAAACAGATGGACGAATTGGTCTTTTTTCTTCATTGGGAGACAAACGTGACACAAACTTTATACATAAAGTGAACAAAATACGCCAGTTCTCAGATAGTGTGTCACCTGCCTTAAAGCTCCTCACTTTTTCGAAGGAATGTATATAAACGACAGTATGGGAAAGAGCCTCCACAGAGTACCTAGAAGCCAGTGCATGTCATAGGGCGGTGGCATCTGATGAATACACGGATCACGTGGTAGTATACGTCGGGCAAATTGGTGAGGGTAGGTACTTGAGGATGTTCTTCTTTCCTCTTTTCACCAAGTGACTTGGGGACCGTGGTCGAGGGGTTAAGGAGGCGCCAGTGGAATCCATTCTTACTCGAAATACGACAAACCAACGCTTCATCTTTTGTTCGATTCCCTACGAAGGACTATCTTTTTCTTCATTCGTATCCTTTATATCATCTCCTCCTTGCAATAAAATACGAATGGGACCTTTAGCCCTGATTCTACCTGGTACGTGTCCCACACAGACTGGATTGTTGAGGTTGCAATTTTCCCGCCCGCTCATCTTTCTCATTCTATCCATCGTTATGGCAATCGCGACGTTTCAGCGTTGAAGCTGGAAAAAACAAAGAAAACATTAGACCGGGAGGAGCACACAACCTTGAACTGCACAGTGTGCTCTCCGCCAGAGTCATCTCATCAAGCTTCAAACGCAATTACCTACTCATACGAGTTCACTTAGACGCCTTCGCCCTCCCAAAGCCCAGCTTCTCCCACTTCATAAAACAGCCACTTAGGAAAGCCACAGCTCCCGCCGCCACAATCACAAATTGCAGATCAGCAATTACACTTGCGACATCTTGAACGGCAATCGCAACCACCCGACGATCCGCAGCCGTCCAGATTTTGGAGTCGAGACCAGCCAAAGCTTCCCGAATATCGTGATCGTTGTATCCAAGCCCCGAAAGCGACATGTGGAGACGGTTGAAGCCGAGGTTCGAAAAGACACAACCAGCTAGAGCGAGTGTGACTGAGATACCGCCAAGCTGAACCATGATGAAGAGAGCTGTGACGTCGAGGCGGCGGTTCGCGGGTACGGCCTGTGTCATAATGGCGACTCCGGTCTGCCACATGCATCCGGTCCCGGCCCCGATGAGGGTGCTGACTCCCATCACTCTGGCCTCGGAGGTCTGAGGTGTGATTTGAGTTTGAAGCCCGGCGCCGATCATTGCTAGGGCACCACCTGCCACGTAGAAGGGGGCATACCGACCGATTACTGGTATCATGCTGGCCATGACGATGCTGAAGATGATGAAGGTGAAGATAAAGGGAAGTATACGGACAGCGGCATCGACTGGCTCGACTCCCTTTGTGAAGGCAAAGAACAATGGTGTGTAGTACAAGGCGATTCCGTAACAGCTGCCGGCAGCCATTGTCCCAAGGCCAACGAGAGCTACGGTTCGGCTCTTGAGAAGGTCTGCAGGAATCGCTCGGTGTTCTTTGCTAGTGAAAAGACAAAAGTATTGCTGCGCAATATAGATGGCGTATATTACACCCACGAAAACCCAGGCTACGATCGCTGAATGAGACGACCACTCCCAAGTGGAACCGCTGAAGATGAGAGCTGAGCAGAGAAGAATAAAACCGGCCATGTGCAGAACGATGCCGAACCAGTCGATGGCAAGGAGACCGCCGATAAGGGGCGTGTTGACGCCAACCTCGATGGGAGGCAGGGCTACGAAGTTGAGAACGGCGATGACAGCAAGGATTGGCAGATTGAGATACATAGCCCATCTCCAAGTAGCGCTCTGGTTCTCGGCGAAGGCTCCTCCGATTACGGGGCCTAATGTCAGTCCAATTGCCCATGAGACAGCCATGATACCTTGGACACGAGGAAGCTCTGCTGGAGTAGTGAGAAGGACGTTGACCAAGATACAGCTACATCACGCCGTCAGCTAATGCGGGCCCAGTGAATGAGGGAGTCTGAACTTCACTTACAGCTGGTAGATTCCAGCACCTCCAACTCCTGAAACCGCGCGGCCGATAATGACGGAGTTCATGCTGGTGGCAGAACCAGACACGGCTGCACCAATGAGAAAGATCAAGGTGTAGGCAACAATCTGCAGCTTTACATGGCCCAGAAGCGCGAGCTTGCGGACGAGGGGAACCATGCAGACTTGGGTTGCTGTGTAACCTGTCGCAACCCATGGCAGGAGATGGACCTGGCCGAAGGCTTCGTAGATCGGTGGTTGGATGTTCGCAATGTTACTGACATCGTATCCTGGATGTTGACAGTAGAAGTTAGCTAGCGTCTACAGGTTGTGTAAAATTGAAAGAAACGGGTTGCCACACCAAGCAGCATGCCTCCAAGGAAGAAGGCAGATTGAATGCATGGCCAACGCCATGCCGCCATGCCATCTCTGGGGTGTTTGTTGGGCGACGCTCCATCGACGACTTCCTTAGTCTCTGGAAGAACGCTGCCTGTGTATGAGCTCCCTCGCTCAACATCACTCCCGGCTGTGGGTTTTGTGTCTGTCTCCATAGTGTCTAGGCAACCTTGTGTGATGTAGATGGGTATGGTTTTCTGAGCTTCGTGTAAGAGGGCCAAAGCCAAGCCGCAGAAGTAGACTGTGAGACAGTAAGAAAAAAGTTGCTGCAGTGTTGTAAGACAGGAGAGAAGATCGATAGGCAACGGGGCACAGTCTTCTGCATATATACAACGCACTCTTCCGTCGGAGAATTGGCATCTGCCTGGGCATGGTAAGGACGTGCCGTATCTCTGCTTTGCTTCGGACGGGAATCGCGGCGCGCCACACCCACTCAATCCTTACCGCCCGCCCGTGTTCTGCTCTGCGCCGCAGCGGCATGCAGTTTGCTTCAGCCCGCCCCCGGGACGGGCCCCCAATGGTAAGCGAGTTGCAACGCCCAACGCATTGTTTCCCAGCATCAAAGTTGCAATGAAGTTCTGTTTAGGTTGAGTTACCAGGGTGGACCACAAAGGCCGTGTGATGAGATCGAGCAAACAAACCAAATGTGGCTGTACGTCCGAATCACCAACGGCGGCAACTGAGTTGGAACCAACGAAGAAAATTTACGTGCTCTCTCGATCCCGGTGCTGTGCCGCACTTTATTTTGCAACCAACAACGCAACAATGCACCCACAGGCAAACGCTCTTCTTCGATCGAGATGAGCAACAAAAGTAAGTAGTGCTCAAGTCGAGAATCGGAAATGGCAAGACTCACAATTCGTCGTACAGCCTGATTTGGTAGTCGCAAAGAGCCCAACACGTCAACGCCAATTAAGCCTCAAATGAAGTTGACAGGCTCACGTCAGCCCCGCAATCCAATCTACTCGTACAACGTCCATCCATACTTTCAAACTTTGACATGTTGATAGGGCCACGGAAGGAGCCTCGTAGAGCCGGTTGTGGTAAGATTGCCCTTCCTTAGCGGCCGCAACCCCCGGCTTCCGACCGCGTGCCCACCTTGGTTGGCCCGCTGTGCCGGCAGGAATCCATGCGGTGAGATGCAGCCAGGGATTTGTTGGCCCCCTCCGACTTCAACGAATTGTACGAGCCACCAGGTTGCATTTGTGCTATTCCAAACTCGCTGATCGTCCCATGTCGGGCGGCTGAAAAGCCTTGGCGGGGGCAGAGTTGGACTGAGTTCCAACGGCAATACGGTTACCCATCGTGTGAGTTACTGAGGGTTACCTGCAGGCGCGAATTGCTCTATGGTGGGATTTAACCAAATGCCTATGAATTCGAAAACCAATGATATCTTCTTATTGTCCTTGCCTCGCCTTTATTGGTTTATGTCAAGTTTGCCCAATGTCGACTTTCTTAGGGAGTCAGGAGGACGGGATTACCAGTTGGAGGAACATGGATGATACAAAATAGGATACAAAGGAATTCTTAGACCCCAACTGCTCCGAGCTAAGCCGGACGCAATTATGGTTTCAGTGAAACATTAACTTTACGACCTCGATTCCACTCCTTGAATCTGAAAGTTGAGGTTAGTCACAATGTCTATTTCCTTCTACATCACCGAAAGCAAACAAAGCCGAGGAGGCAGGGTACATGTACTTAACAAAGCCTCCAGTGCCGCGAAGACATCGGCGCAAGTGCCCCACTTTCGTCTAAGCTTCCGTGTCCCGCTCCATCATCTGGTGTTGTAGGATCTCCAAAACCTAAAAGTACTACGTGCCTCACACAAAGCAAGACCAAGAAAAATCACGACAAAGAGTCGATTGAAGCCACAACCTTTTCTCCACGAACAGCAAAAGAGAAAATGAAAGGTTTCGTGCCCAGAGGCGGATTCGAACCGCCGTCAACACGGATCGCTGTATAGAAGAACCACAACGTATCATCCTAACCAACTAGACGATCTGGGCTACTGGTACTAGGGCTGTGAACCCTTGCTTGACGGGGCAGGTCAGAATTGAACTCATGAATAGTCGCAGTAGGCCATGGCGGCAATTCGGCCACCCATATCGGCGAAAAAGATGCCGAATGTCTTCTCAAAAGCGAAAACTTGCCGTTTTAATTACATTCAGTAACTCTTGAGTCAATTTCAATTGTTGGAGATAGTTGTGGAGGATCTAACGGTCGCTCAATCTTTGGTCTACTTGACAGCCTGAAGCTGCGTTTGCAATCGGAAACCTCTACATAGCTCAAGTCTAGTATGCACTAATTTGTTTTCAGAAAACTGGCTTCCATTTCTTTTGCAGCTCTCTTTACCCAAAATGAGTTCAAAAAACAAACTATTGAGGTGTGCTAGGATCGGAGTAAAACAAGCATGAAGACTCGCGTCTAAGGAGAAATGTTAGAAGTGCTTGCTGCGGTAAAGTCGTTCATGTCGCTCGAACAAGACCATGTTCTTTGCTTCGAGTAAGTAGACCTGCATTGTCCTTGATAAAGGAAATTTTCCATTCATGCCGAGATTAGAAAGGTCGAGAACTTCGTTCTAATTGTCATTCGAGCTGAGTCGATGAACAATGAACTAGCTCTTTGAAGCCGTGTTACGTGGATATTTCGAGACACGAATATTTCAGTCAAGATGTATTTAAGATAACAGGAATTCAGAAAAGGAAGTGGCTTCTCGGAGCATCTTTATCATCTCAGCTTCTCTTAGGCCTCCCCCATCAATATTCGTACTTAAGAACCACAGCATTTACAGCAGCATCTCGTAAGTCAACTAGACACTCACACAACTAACAGCCTTCTCAGTGGAAATCAATATGCCTTACGGTACTCCCGGACACTCTGGTAAGAGATGGGTGGAATCATCAAATACAGATCGTTCACCAAAGAGGCCTCGTCTCAATATCAACACATCGCGTAACGGACCAAACACACGTTCAGTAACATCCCCTGACCCCCTAAGCCCAGCAACAGACATCTTGTCGATCTACCGCCGAGGCCCATACGTTCCTCGGGGATCAACTGGCTCTCAGATCCAGCCAGTCCCCGATTTCCTTCAACTCAGCCCCATCCAATCGAACCGGCCCTCAGACAGCTTGCCAGTCACCCTCCTCCTCTCAGGTCCATCATCGCCAACAATCCTCAGTATGCCGATAACCAAGCTTGCCGGAAATGTCCTCAATGCTCCGAGACCCTTCTAGGCCCGGAACCCATCGGCACCAACGGACAACCCGTCTCCACCGTATGCGAGAACTGCAGGCAGGCCAACATCAGGGAGCAGGTTCTCCGCAATATCGCCGCTGAAGCCCTTCTCCTACTCAGCACCGGCGGCGTCCCAACTCGCGACAGCGCAGGTGAAGCGTCAGTGGCCCCCGTCAGCCCTCCAAAGCAAGATGACAGTCACAGGCTATCCCAAGAGTATCAACAGTTCCAGCCCCATAGGCCGTTCCTCTGCGTCCGCTGTAAGAGACCAGGAGTGCCATGTGCTCCCGGCCGACGGCGATGCGCAGAGTGCATCTGCATTCTCGTCGCCTTTGGCCCAGACAATGGTTCTGGCTCCCAAGAAGGTAATAGTCAATCCAACCCGGTCAGAAGCATCCCTCTCTCATCACAAAACCTCACTAGACCGCCAGTCCTCTGCGATGTCTGCCACACCAAGACCGTGCCTCCGGGCACCAAGCGCTGCGAAGACTGCATCGCCCCAGACACCCCAAACACACCGCTGACAGCTTTCTTCACCGCACAGGGAATCTGCGTCATATGTGAGCGTAACCACGTAGTGCAAGGTAAGTCCCACTGCAGAAAGTGTCTCTTCGAGGGGACGACCAGCGCCGAGCCCCTACAGGCTCTCCAGAGCCTGCCCGCGGCGGAGATCATGCAGTGTACGGGTTGCGGTCACCAGGTCCACCGGACTCCCGAGGGTTACTGCCGCGAATGTCGAGATGATGATATGCCGGAAAATCAGCCTCAGGGCGGGGCGATGGATATCGGCGACGAGCCTGCGGAAGCTGTGTCTTCCACGGGTATCTTGACGAGGACGAAGTGCGGTTGCCAGAACTTTGCACGACTAGGCAAAAAGTTGTGTGCAGATTGCCTGGCTGCCAAACATATGGTCGGATGGAGAGGATGGACTGCGTGGAAGAAGGAACATTGGCCAAGACCCGTTCGCGCGAACAAGAAGCATTGAACCTGGTGTCTGCAAGCCTCAAGTGAGGGGTGGGTATTCAGGATTGGTAATTCTTACTACTGAGTCCGGTTTAGTTGTGTTGAAGATGGAAGCGATGCTTCGTTTTTTGGTCAAAATGCTGCTGAAGAAGAGGCGAGTAGATTTGAGAGAATAGGCCAGCTCAAGGCAAGGTAGAGGTGACTGAAGTTGAAGCTTTCGCAGGGTAGAACTGTCGATAGGCGACCTAATAGATGGAGTCAACTTTGTGAGAACTCGTCGCGAACTTGACCAAGCACTTGATTATTTGTTTGCATGCTGGAACACAGAGCTTTTGATTACATACGCCATCATCCCCAAACTAAGAGCCAAGCTGCCAAACAGAGAGACTCTGCAACAGCCTCGCCCAGCCTATGTACCGTTGGCACGTCTTCCGCCACGTTTACTCCTCTCAATGTGACCCTGCAGCACCTTCTTCGTCTGTACCAAACTCCTCTTGTTCTTGTACTTGGCTTTGTTCAGCGTCATCATGAAGTTCTTCTGGCGCGCCTTCTCCTTGTTCGTCGAACTCTTGCCCTCGGCCTCCTTCTTGGACCGGCGGATGGCCTGTGTGGACTTGTGCTCCTCGCGGCCCGGCTTGCCCTCCTGAGCCAAAGCGACTCTCTCCTCCTTGGTCGTCTTGCGCAGCCTGGCGGGAGCCTCAATCTGCTCGGCCGTAAGGCCGTCGTCTGCGTGACGGGCCAGAGCCTTCTCAGCCTCCTTGGAACGTTTTGAAGTCTTGCCCAATGTCTTGTTGAGGCTGGCCTCCATGCGCAGCTCTTGGAGCTTCGCGAGGTCGGCGGGTGTGAGAATGGTGGTCGTGGCGAGTTTTTGTATCCGCTCGAGTTCATCTGCGTCGTCCTCCTCGTCCTCCTCCTCATCATCCGAGCCATCCTCTGCTGTCCTGCGCTTCTTCGGCGCAGGCTCGTCCTCATCATCCGAGTGATCAACGTTGATCCAGCCGCCTGAGTCGTCGCTATCATCGGAGTCCACTTCCCAGTCCTCTGACTTGTAGCCCTCCTCGTCCTCGTCTTCGTCCTTGTCGGCGCCGTCTTCTGGCAAGCCCTTGGCGGCACGCTTGAGCTTACGCTGTTCCTCCTTGTATCTTGCCAACAATTCAATGCCCTCAATACCACCAACTTCCTCCTCGCCGAATCTCTTCGTCTTGATCTCTCCGCTTCTCAGGCCCATGGATGCGTCCTTGCCTCGGTCCTTCTTCTGCAGCAGATCAGCGCCAACCTCTCTGTACAGAGATAGAAGACCCTTGGCCGCCATCATTGTTCCCTTGTCTTTGCTCTTCCTGTACTGAACAAGATCTTGCAACAGTGTATCAGACATGGCCAGAGGTTGTCTGACGCAAATTTCACGGATAGCGTTCAGACCAGCGGCAGCCACTTCGGCGGCGGCAGCTTCTGAGACGAATTCGTTGGCAATCTTCTGGATGAGGGGCTCAACCGCATCAGGGGGAACCAAGCTATGCGTTCCCTGAGCCAGAGAGGCCAAGTAAGACGTGACCGACTCCTGGCGGGGCGTAAGGAATTTGATGAACCACGAGTACAGGCTGATGATGGTCAACTTGTGAAGACCAACCAGTCTCGTGACCAGCTGCAGGACGAGGAGCTTGTTCTCGTGGGAGAACTTTGTCTTGGTGTTTTGCAGGTGCTTCTGGAACACGGTCTCGGCAAAGCCTTGAGGGTCGTGCAGGAGGTGGAAGGCGGAGAAGTTGAGCGGGTGAGGCTTGCCCTTGCCGCGCTCCTGCTTGTGGATTTTGGCAACGGCCTTCTTGTACGCATTTGCCTGCTTCTTTGACTTCTTGTTGATGCCGATCTGATGCTTCATCTTTTGCAAATCAATCTGCTCCTCGTCACTGCTGTCGTCCTCCAGCTCTTCACGCTCCTTGTCGCCACCGAGGAAGAAGCGCACGGAACCAACGACAACCTTTTCGTTATCGGACAGAGCCGCTTCCTTCATAACGTCGACCGTCTTTGCATCGGTCCAGATTTGTCGCTTCCACAGCTCGCGGGTCAGCTTAACAGCCCAGACGGCTTTCGGTGATGTGCGGTCGGCCGTGATGAGGTTGTAGAGGACGGTCTGGATCGTGCGGTTGAGGGGGTGATTCGTCGCCTTGGAGTTCGCGTTGCGCATCTCGGTAAGGATCTTGCCGAACAGGAGCGTTCGCAGCGACTTGCTAGGCGAAGAAACGAGAATGGGGAACAGTGTCGTGAGGTAGTACGTCGAGTCGATGACGTCCTTCTTGCGGAGGAGCGCCAGAGCTCCGACAATCTTCTCGCGCAGCTCCGGGTGCAGGACCTCGTGGTGCTGCAACAGGATCGCCTTCAGGTCATCGGGGAACGCGACGGCGTGCTTTGGGTACAGGTCGACGGTATGGGCGAGGAGATCGACGAGATTATGGAAGGACTCTGTGTATTCTCTCGTCGCTGTCGTCGGCGAGACGAGGAAGACCTCGCGCTGACTCTCGTACTGGCCCCATTGCTGGAGGAAGTTCTCTTCGTACGACTTGGGATCGCGGCGGATCTTGTACTGCAAGCCGGCGCTGTGCTTGTTAGCGATTGACGTGTCGGCTAGATCGCGGGTCACTTACAAGTCGACATCGACCTTCTCAAGGGCGGTGACCTTGCGCTTTCCCATGGTTGCTGGTTTCGCGATTGGAGTCGACGAATTAATCAGTGTCTGAGCGACGGCGGGGGACCTGACCATCAAAAATCTCGACGGTCGGCAACTTTTTTTGCTTATCGCTATCTTATCACAGATATCTGGCTTATCGGCGCCAGCAAGCAATTCTGGTGGGTCCGCCGGATGCGCTCCACCAATCGGAGGTAGTCAAGCGGGCACCTTTGTCCCTTCCTCTTGAGCAAGACATCTTGCTCGAGAGTTTTCGTTCCCACGATCAAAGACTAAGGTATTGAGAAACGTTACATTTACCTAAAATGAATATGATTATCAGAGACTCGGCTGAGTCCGGTTTAAAATTGAGACTGCTGATGGTTGGGATACTAGAGACAGCCGGGAGGTCCTCCAGCATCAACATCTTTCACCACAAAATGCTCACCCTGGCGTGTTGCCCGTGCTGCGCCCCGGTCACCGCCAGGCTCCTTATGTTGAACTGATATCTGTAAGTCAAGTGGCAAGTGTCTGAAGCCTATTCAGCTTGTAAGAAGATCCCTGGTCGAGAAAAGTAGACCATGACTCTTCATCGCTTTCGCGAAGCGCCATGTGAACAAGGATAAGTACACCCGGTGCGGGCTAATTCACGTCCATGCCATACGTACTGCAAAAGCTTGCTGTCATTTTCTAAAAGACATGAGTGAAAGTGTTCGAAACTAGAGGCCGCGGAGGCGTGGCATGATGGTGTGTTCCAGGAATGCTTTCTAAAACAGAGAAAAGCCCTCGAAACTCCATAAACTTCCTAAAGTCGCCGGTCCGGGGGCTTCATCACCGGAAGTTGTCGTAAGCATCCGATTTCTGAAAGGGCAGGAGAAGCATCTACCGCCCATCCCAGTGAGGAGTATAAATGCAAAACGAATTCCCATTAACTCACAGCTTGGATCAATACCATCAGTCCATCGGACCTTCAATTAGCTCACAAGAAAACGGGTCATTCACGTTTCTACATCCGTTTAGCCCCTAATAAACGATGCAATTCTCAATTATCGCCGTTGCCTTTTCCCTCTTTGCAGGAAACGCGTACGCGCTGCATGTAAGTTCTTCACCAATATGGCCTTCTCGCCCCTCTATCCCGAAAGTGAAAGACTTTCGAAACTGGGTGACCTTCTGCGCCCTACTTTGCTCTACCCAATTATTCTAACGGTAGTTTGCCATAGAGATGCTCCTGTCAGCTCGGATCATCGTGCCAAAGCTTCTCTCAGGTGGAAGATAATCAGAGCTGCGGGGACTTCTGCAAGTCAAGCTTCAATAATGCGAAGACGTGTTGATTGCAAATTAGTGGAGTGGATTTTGTAGTCAATTTGCGAACACGATTTTCAATACCTTCTGGCCTAAAGAATTCGATGAGCACTCGGTATACAGGCCGTAATGCAACTACTTTCGAAGTCGCATCAACAGAGTCCCGGCAGAGCTAAAAGGCACAGCCTTGGAGGCATGTGCCCCAAGAATCCTCCTCCAGTCAGTTGTTCCGTAGCCTCTTTGTGAAGTGTCGTAATTCGATGACTGGGAACGTATCAGAAATCTTTAAATTGGCATAGACCGCCTGATTTGGTCGAGTAGTTCGCCACGACGCTTTTTTCAGGCAACCGGAACTTTTGCTGCCTAGGGGCTTCTGTTGGGCACCACACGCACCTTGAGCAAAAGGCCCATGCAGCTGGTGTGTGCGGGCAAGACACAGAGACACCTGCAAGCCTATCAATTTCTGATGTTACACACCTTCGTCACGACTCGCTCTGGCACTGGTCGTCTGCATAATTTTCACAGCTCTAGTATCTCTTGATAAGCCTTGGCAAACATCAGGCGGCCAATGCCCTGTCACTCGTCTTTTGAGTAATTATGTAGCAGAAGTCTCCGTCAGCTCATCAGGCTGTACTTTGCTTGGTGCTGTTCTCACAAAAGGCCTTTTTCTCCAAATCATTTATCGAATACTGACATATAAATCGCATGACCACGTATTGGTACTCAGCATTCTGGTTCGGAATCCGGCGTAGTACTTTCAGTCTCACACCGCATTTCTATCGCCAAGTCGTGGAGTTGCCGACGTCTCTTCTACACAGTCGTAGATATCGCGGCAGCGCCCAATTGACCACCATCATGTCTGCTATCCAGTGGGAGAGTTGGAATGATGAGATCACTCAACTCTACGTCACTGAAGACAGATCTGCGGAGGAAACAATTAAGGCTCTGAATCAGAGACACAAACTGAGGATAACGTACGTTTAAACCTTTGTCTACCCCTAAAAAGTTTTTCATCAAGCCTTTAACACTGGAGAAGTATAAAACAGTTCAAGAAGCGCTATTCAGGCCTCAAGAAGGTGCGCGCCAACGAATGGAGAGCCATCAAACGAGAGATGCAAAAGCAGAAGGCCGCCGGCAAAGAATCTCTGATCTTTCTCAACGGGCGCCAGCTTGGCCCTGAGCGGGTTGCCAGAGAGATGCGTCGATATAGCGGCATTCGCGGTCAGGAAGTGGAGGATGGCGGTGTCCCAATTGGTGAGCAGCCTAGAACCCTAACTAATTGTTGAGTACCACATCTCTAAGACATCGTAGATATTGGTATCGATACTACCGGCCAGCATCGACTAGAACTGCGCACAAAGATTCTCTCCGAGAGCTGTATTCTGTCAGATGCCGGGTCGAGCATTGTACGACTTCCCTCTAGAGCGGATGTCACTCGTATCGCAGACTCTTGTGGCCCAGATCTGGCGAATACCAACTCTTCCTCTGCAGAGACGTACTGTCTCGACTCCGACTTCAGTAATATTAGCATGAGCACTCCTTGCTTCACTGAGCTTCTGTTCCAGGAAAGTCCCAAGGAAACGCTACACGTCCAGAGCATCCCTCGCACACGAAGTGGTCGAGAAAGTGTCGACGGGCATAGCGAGGGTACGACATTAGATATCTCCCAGCGACGCTGTCCAACGCCAGAATATCCTATTTTTGACTTCGGCCTTCACAATTCAAGCATGGCATTGAACTCTCGCTCCAAGATATCAGCTCGCTTCTTGAGGATGCTACATGGAATGGCATTGAATACCTCTCGTACGTGTTAATCCAAATTCCCACAAAATGCTTGGAGAGACATCGCTGACAATAGCCGTAGAAGTTAACCACTTCATGAAAGCCCTTGAAAGGGATATCAGTACTTTTGCCACCAAGGTCGGCCAAGTTCGGTGGCCATCTTGGTGGCAGGAACTGGATCCGGATTCGGGTTCCAGCTGGATGACCCTGGCAAGCGGCGATCCTTCTCTACTTTTACTGAAGCCGATCTACTTCATTGCCGAGAATGTCCTTCGACGAGACGACGATAGCTTGGAACATCACGATAACGCGGACGCAAAGGATTGCCAGATTGCCCTGTGCCAGGATAAGCGATTGCTTAACTTATTTTTCTCCATTGTTCTGCATCTCATCTGCAACAACATTGCAGGGTTCGATGCGATTCCCTCTCTCCTACGATGGGTGGCGAAAATGAATGTACTAGACCGACTTGCGATGTATTTGAAGATGAATCCCAGAGATGCTGAAGCCCTTTTGGAAGCAGCTGTACGTCGGCTCAAACTAGCATCATATGAAGACAGACACGTGCATCGCAATTCCGACAAATGCTCGTGGTGGGAGCAGCTAGTTGACTTCTTCGACAAACAAGGGCTGGAAATTTCCCCCGAACTGTCTTCACCTTTTCTTCACGCCATTGCAAGAATTTCGACCCCATCAACTGCAAGGCAATTACTTTCTCATGGAGCCGATATCAACTTTACCGCACCTCTCATATTTGAACGTCAAGATAGACTTCCTCGACAGCCCGTTCCCTTCATTGGGCCCCCGCTATTTCAAGCCATATATTTCAGAAACCTAGACATGGCGGAGTTTCTCATCGAGGAAGGAGCTGAAATCAACCGCTGCTACCAGATGAATTCTCCCAAGTTGTCCTGCAACGCTCTTAGTATCTGTATCTCCAAACTCGACCCATACTTTGCAGATCTTCTCGTTAGGAAGGGAGCTCAGATACCACCATCGATCAAAGTCGATTTGCGGCCCCTCCAAGCTTACTTGAAGCTCGTCGGTTTTGATACAGAGTATCCGCTTCTTCAGCAATGGATTCGGCGTCATATACCACTCATTGACCTAATAGTTCAAGCTGCAAGCATCGGTAAAAGCGAGCTCTCCAAAGTCCTTCTAGAATACAACATACTTCAGGAGATGGCTCTGGAATGTGTCTTACGTCGAGCCGTCAAAGCAAAAAAAACTCTCGCTGTGCAAACGCTACTCCAACGTGGCGTGAATCCAAATCCGCCGCCATGTCAGATTGAATGCTCGAAGTTTCTGGGCATTGACGAGGAATTAGTGGAAAAGGCACCAATTCTTTTGGCCGACTATACTGATTTCGAAGGGAGAGACATCACGTATTTACTATTACTTGCTGGTTCCCATGTGCCCGATCACATCCTTGTCGACATTTTCCAATTGGGTATGAATGATCGAAGCATGATGCCGCTAAACAATGATTTGCTACCGTTATACTCCCTTTTGGTATCGAGAGTATCAGCGGTGCCACTCATTGGAGCTACCGCTTTGGCAAGCGCAGTCAAAAAAAGAAACTTGATCTTATGCAGCCGTCTCCTTGATCTCAAGGCTCCCCTTAACTACTATGGAGTCCACAGAATGAGCTGCTTGCAACAGGCGGCTTGTCAAGGAAATTTGCTCCTGACACGTTTTCTCCTCGAACGTGGCGCGGATGTTAACTTTGCTGCTCATGAGGATGGAGGACGTACGGCGTTACAGAGTGCTGTCGAGCATTGTGCAACCTCAGTTGTAGAGTGTCTTCTCAGTGCCGGAGCAGATGTGAAGGCTGCTCCGGCGAAGAGAAACGGAATCACCGTGCTCGAAGCCTTCGCGAAATCAAACGAGAGTCGCTTCTACCCGAGATTCGCAACCAGAACTCCATATAGCCCACCGGGGTACGAAAGCTATCAAGTTTCAAAACTAGGTCGTTTCCGAAATTGGCTGGCAATGGGCGTGCCCGTCAACCGGCCAAACGGCGATGACAGTAGCTTACTGCACTACTTGATATATAACCTCCATTACAAGTGCCTGGAGTCGGCATTGGAGTTAGGAGCACTAACAGACGCTAGATGTCAAGTGGAAGAGGCGGAGCATCAGAGTTATGGTGGGCTTGAGTGTGGATCCTCAAAAGGTGTCAAGACTCCGCTCCAGTTTGCCGCTTACTTGGACGAAGTTGAAGCTGCTCGCTTGCTACTCGAGTATGAGGCCGATATCAATGCCCACCCGAGTGACGAGTACGGCAGAACTGCGTTACAGGCAGCGACGTGTAACTTCAGACAACAGTGTGGACATGCCATGCTGCAGCTTCTGCTTTCCTTCAACCCAGACATCAACGCACCGCCAGCAAAGAAAGGAGGTCTCACAGTTTTGCAGGGGGCAGCAATAAGCGGCGATTTAGGTGTTGCCAAGATGCTACTCGATCGAGGAGCAGATATCAACGCGCCTGGCGCAGCCGAGGACGGGAGAACAGCGGTTGAGGGAGCTGCTGAACACGGCCGCCTGGACATGGTTCAACTTCTTCTTGAACATGGTGCTAAAGGAGATCCGGATACTGGCTTCTCCAGGGCAATTGAACTCGCAAAAGCAGAGACCCATTTGGGAGTTGCAAAGGTTCTTGAGGAGCACGACGAGATCTCGGCGCTGCTTGATATGGGGCTGGCGTACGGAGCGAGTACTGACCTGGCCGCTACTCTGCCGTCTCCGGGAATGATATTCGACCTTTGAAATTGGGTGTCACTGAGACCCTGAAGTTATGCGGAAGAGAAGGAATCTCGCGGGGACAGAAATGTCTCGAGTATGGGTACGTTCAAGAGGATTGGGGAAGGTCTTCTAAGGGAGAAGCCAAGAACGTTAAAGGCTCAGGTGAAAACGGATTCTGCTATCTTTCAAAGTTACGTTTAGATCATTATTCAACTACTTGCTTACAGCGTCTGTGAACCTGGGATCATATGGAAGACTACATGTGACAAGGAGATAGCGGGACATCATTGCTAACATGAATTGGATGTTCATATCAAGGATATGTACTTAACAAGTAATTGGCAAACATTGACAAACTCCATTCTTCATCAGCAGCTCTAACAAGCTGGCCTCACTCTCACTACATCTCTATATAAAATCTCCCCAAACCCAACCTCCCGCATCCAAGCCCCACATCTATACCACCCCACCCCCTTCTTCTGAAAAAGACTGTAAAGGCAGATTCCTCTGCTAAAAGACTGACTGGCTGGCTTGCTAGACGATGCAAAGAACCATTTAATGCATGTGCGTGGCGTGAACAAAGACGTAGGTGTGATATCGTAACACTTTGCTTCATTCCTTTCTTCTCTCCTCCCTTCCTAACCTCATTCATTTCACATATCCTCTTCGTCTCTTGCACATACCAACTCATTTATCTCTTTCACAGCTCATCCCGTTCATTCTCATCCGCCTCCTCCATCTGATCAGTCTCGTCATTCACATCCTGTGCTAGCTCATCTGCGACTTCATGCTCTCCGTCTTCTGCGACGGGCAGAGCTGTCTCAGTGGCCGGCGCCTCTTCCTCATCAGATACAGCATCTTCTGTGAACTCGTCAACGGGTGACACAGTCTCAAAAGCTGACGCCTCTTCCGTCTCGGATGCGTTCTCAGAGACAAGAGTCTCAGAAGCTTCCTCCGCAACTGGGGCGTCGGCAACAACCTCGTCTTCAATGGCCTCATCAGCCTCGACCTCATCAATCTCAGGCGCAACACTAGCCGTAGGCTGAACCCTGACAACCTCCGTCTCCGTAACAACGGCTTTGACCGTCTCCGTCACAGTCTCAATGATACGCACCAACTCTCTAGTAGTGATGGTCTCATGAACCGGAGTAGGCGAAGGCACCCTCATCTCCTCAGAAAAAGAAGGAGAATCAGTCACAGAAGTCTCCTGCTCAACCGCAGAAGTCTGCTCTGTAGCCAAAGTAGACGTAGTCTCAATCTCCACAACACTCGCAACAGACTCAGACACGAAAGCCTCCACACTAGGTTCTGGCTCAACAACTTCAACTTCAGGCGTAGGCTGAATAACAACCTCCACAGAAGCCTCAGACGCCGTCACAGACTCCACAACAGCCTCGATACTCTCCATCAACGGCGGTGCCTGCTGCGAGGCAGGAATCTCAACAACAGGCGCAGCAGCATGATCGACAAACTGCCCATCCCAATCCTTCACCTCCCTCGGCGCAGGACGAATCGCCATGAACAGCACAAGCAAACTCATAACCACGATGGCAAGGTTCTTCTTATCCTGCATAAACACCCGCGCCGCCTCCAGCAAGAGCTCTGCGAGGCCGGCGTTCTGGAATGCTTGTTGGCGCTGGTGGTGCTGGGCGTAGGATTCCTCTGGTGGGGGAGGGGACTGGTGGTGCTGATGTTGCTCGTGGTAGTGAGGTTGTTGGGGTTCGGGCTCAGGTTGCTGCTTTTGCGAGGGAGGAGGGGAGCGAGCTGAGTAGGCATCGTGGTGCGACGATGCGGGCCGAGATTCGGGGGCTGGCTCGTGGTGCTCTGGTTCAGGTGCCGGAGGATGCCCGTAGATCTCACGCATGCGCGCCTCATCGCGGAGACGGCGTTCCTCGCTCTGGTCGTAGCGAGGCATCGGCTCCGGTGACGGAGGACGGATATTCTCTGTCGCAGCAGGGGGAGGTGATGAGGCCGGAATATGAGCTTCGCTCTCAATGTACTTCGGCTCCAAGAGATGAGTCTCCTCAATATGCGACGTCTCGTGCATCGGCTCCTCCATGGAGGGCATATCGCGGTCAAAGTCCGACATTCCACGCTCTTCAGGCATATCTCTCCCCTCAGTCGACTCAAGAATCGTAGGATCGTGCTTTACAAGCGACATCTGCTGCGACTGCGCCACAACAAGCCGCTCCAGCTCGTCCAGCACAGCCGACTCGACAATGGGCTCAATCTCAACATCAACACGCTCCATCTCCTTCCAGCACGCCGCCCAGGCGCCGGTCCTCATAAGGCCGTTGCTAGCATACACCTTGATGCGGAAGATCTTGCCGGGGCCGAGGGACTCGTAGCGGATCTCGTGACGACACGTCTGGCACCAGTGCATCTTGGGCAGCGCGCTCTTTCGCCTCGACTCCTCGTCGTACTCGTCCTCGTCGCTGTCCATGTCCTCGCCGAGCGTCATCTCGTTGGAGGGGCCGAGGTAGTGCCCGCACTCGAGGACGCGGGCCCTCCGGCGCAGAGGCAGATCGAGGGCTTCGAGGAGGCGTTCTTCAAGGATCTCATACTCGTCTTGAGGGTGGGAGAGGAGGATACCGCGCTCACAGACGGTATCGGCGACGCGGTCGTGGAGATGGTGCCAGGCCTCGCGGAGCGTCTTCGCTTCCGGGGACAGGGTCTCAGAGGACGTCTGCTCCAGGATCTCAGCCCACTGCCAGCGGAGCGGTAGGAGGGTGACGTGAAGAAGTACGAGTGGGGCGGGCTCCTTCTTAGGGTTGAAGCGGGTAGGTGTCTTGCGGCCCTTGGCAGAGTATTGGGCGGACACGTTGGGGCTGCCGAGGCGGGAGATGGTCGGCACCTGGGAGCGTTTGCTAGAGCGCGGCGAGTAAGAGCCGCCGGTGACGGAGGGCGCGGGGGATGAGTATTGCAGAGCCCGGACGTCGGAAGGGGAGCGGAAGGGCATCCTGGGCGCGCCGCGGATGGTTGGGACGAAGTCTTCCTTATCGTAGTATGACATCTCGGACACGGAGACGTCGTCTGACATGTGGGAGAATCTCTTGGAGGAGCGGTTGCTGGTGTCCTTGTGATGATCGATATTGCCGTCAAAGGAACCGAGTGAGCTGCGCGGGCTGCGGTCGCTGAAGACGTCCGAGTCGCCGTGCTGGGAGGAACTGTCGCCGCCGTCCTCGTGGTGTGTAGGTCGATGACGGGTGCCGCTCTCCCGACGGCTGGTTTGTGAGTGTGTGTTGTAGGACTCACGACGACTTGCCCGCGATTCCGTGTTATAAGACTCACGGCGGCTAGCACGCGAGTCGGTGTTGTAGGATTCGCGGCGAGTGCTCACATCGTAGTGTAGCTCTGTGCCGTTGTTTGTAGATCCTGTGGAGTCGTGGCGTGCGTGTGACCTGTTTCTGATAGTCTCCATGGTCTGAGCCTCGAGTCGCTCGAGGACCTCCTTGGCGGCAGCTTGAATGAGAGCATCGGTGCGACCGGAGACGCGGCGGAGGGAAGAAGAGGAACGACTGGCTTCTTGGACGCCGGCGGGCTCATCGTGGTCCTCAGCGACTTCGACGGCAGGAGCAGGTGTTGGCGTCTCGTCAGAGTCTGTCTGAGCCATGTTGAGTGAGTCTGCGACCTGCTCTGCCAGTTGACTGGTTGTGATTTCAGCCGCGGGGCCGAGTGACCTTCCCCTCTCGACCTCCTCGTCTTCGGCTTCCGTCTCTAGGGCAGGTGTAGATTCTTTCTCGGCCTCGACTTCAACCTCTACTTCGGGTTCGGGCTCTGGCTGAACCTCTGGCTCAGCTTCTGGCTCAGCAGCTTCTAACTCAGGCTCTGGCAGAGGCGTATCTTCTTTGCTCTCTTCCTCAGGTTGAGCCTCAGGTTCTGTCGGAGTTGCTGTCTCTTCAACATCATCCTCGGCCTCAACGAGGACTTCAGGCTCGGCCTGAAGCTCTGCCTCTACTTCAGCGACCAACTCTTCGAGCTCAGTCTCTGCCTCAGCTGCTGGTGCGGGAGTATCTTCCGGAGCTTCCGTTTCAGTCTCAGCCTCTATACTTGAAGGCTCCTCCTCAGGTGTATCTTTGTTATCGGTATTCGCAGACGAATCCTCATCTGCTGGTGTGCTGTCGACTTCTGCCGTCGTTGCTTCCGGCTTATCCTCCTTAATGGTATGTGTATCCTCCGAGGTAGGTTCCGCCTCTTCAATCTTGGTCTCGGCTTCTTCAGAGGTATCCTCCGCGGCAGGCTTCGTCTCCTCAGCCTCCGCAGTCTCCTCAATTGTTGTTTCGGGTTCTTTCTCAGGAATATCCTCAGTATCAGCCTCCAAAACAGCCTCTGTCGCGGCCGCCTCGGCCTCTGTCGTGTCTTCCTCCTTGTCGTCTTCCTTCACATCGTCCGACTCGGTCTTTGACTCCTCCACAACGACCTCTGGAGTATCGTCTGTGACATCCTCCTGTGTATCTTCCACCGTCTTAACCTCCTCGGCGTCGGCCTTGGCAGCAGCAGCGGGGACGTCGTCGGCCATAACTTCGGGCTCGGCAGCTTCGTGCGCGGGTGTATTCAAGCAAGACTGATCAACATGGATCTCAAAGTCGAGATCCTCGGGTTTTGGCCCGGATCGTAGCATCTGTCAGTAGTCGACAGACAGACAGACAGACACGTTCCAGTCGTTAGGCAGAACGGGACGGGAAGCAGTAGTAAGCTGGATAAAAAAGCGGGCTTGAGGAATGCGGTGAATGCGGGTTGGGATAATCCTCCTTCCTCTTTACGGAGTAGAGAGAACGATAAAAAGAGAGACACAAAAGGTCTCTCGAGAAACGTGAGGATGCTGCGTGTGGGGGTGGTACCCTATAATTCCAGTCTGTTTATGGCCCCCGGTCCGGGACGGGTCGAGGGAGCAACCGGTTTTTGGAGGTGGTTTCGTTTGGGATGGTTTGGGTGGAAATGTGGTGCTCTCTCTCTTTTCGAACAGGTAAAAGTCAAGGTGGGACCTTGGTCTGAAGACAGAGTTTACAATGTTGACTTTGAACTTATTCTGGACAATCATACAGAAACACACAGAGATGTGGAAAGGTAGAGAGAGGTGCTCGGCTAATATGTGATGCTTCGTTGTCTCCCGGTGGTTGGTCAAACTATTGCAAGTGGGTTTTTCTCTCTTCTCATCTTTTGGCGCCGGTTGGGCATTCACAAAAAAAAGAGCTGCGGTGAGAGTGAGGCGCGCGTCCAGTCTAAAGGGTCGGGATAGGCCCAGGGTGCATCCTGCGTCCTGCGTCCTGCGTCCTGCATTTGCCTTTGCATTGACAAGTGACGGGAGTGGCTGGCGCATCGACTGGGGGGTTTGCGTGAGCTGCTCGTTCGTGGTGTGCTCATCTGTTTTGTTTACTTTGGTTGCCGGGTCGAAACACGGGGTGGGTGGTGGACGGTCACTGGTGACGGAGTGGGGGTGGAAATTTGACCCGCTCTTATTTTCCTCGCCCAACCATGCCATTTTTTGATGTCCTTCTTTTCGCCCAATTGGGTTCTTGGCCTCACCTCAATTCTGGACACAGATGAGAGTCTTGAACGCGGATGGTTGGGGGAGGATACTCATGTACGGAGTACGAATCTGCAGTGTCATGATCATTCTGGCCACGATGTATGGAGTAACCTGTACTTTCATATTCCATCTGTGTTCCTACTTTCAAGGAGTCAAACACAAGGGTTCACACCCTCCCATTTCCCACGCAAAGTTCCCTTCCATTTGACTTCAAAACATACATGTCGTCTTCCCTCTCGCACAGCCAATTTGACGTCATCTACTACAAGCCCGATAAGAAGATAGTTGCACCATCAACGGGAATCCCGGACTCCCTCTGTCTCTCTCCATTTCGAAAGGTCCCGTCTCCAGGGGTTCAAAATGTCGGTGACCGGTCTGGGTACAGTCTTAGCCACCCGGATGACCCCATCCGGTCTTCCCATCCTATCCGAATTCACCTTACTAGTTAGCACTCCGTATCCATCCCGTCGTGGCGGCATGGCGGCATGGTTCCAGTTGCCGGGCCGCTTTGACCGGCACAAAAGTCATTCCAACTATCCGTGACCCGTCCTCTCAGTACGGGTAAAACTAGTGAATTTTGGAAATGAAGTGCTCTGACGATCGTGACAACTTGGCTCCGATCCCGCTTGTTGATGCGGATATGTCATGTTGTGATTTCGTCAGTAGCTTACGTCCATGGTCATCTTACCTGATCTCTACTAATATGGAATGAAATAGAAGCATGTCACCACAGTATACGTCAACAAGGAATCAACGGAGAGGTCCAAACTCCCGGTCTATGATTGCAAACTACAAAGCGACTATTATACAACCCTCCGGCAGGCCAGCCATCTTTTCGTCTATCATGCTCTATGCTTCTATGATAGGCAGTTTTCCTGAAAAGATTAACCCCCAAGTTCCCCATGCCCTCCAAGGAGTCTTGCTGAACAGATGAAACAAGAAGTTTGCCCAGGCCGATGTTCGTTAAAGAAAAAATTTCTAATGCAGAGAAGAAATGCAGCCCCCCATCTAGTGGAGGAAAGGGGGGGGGGGCGGCAAATGCTGCTTGCTGCTGTGAGAGGATATCATAAAAATGTGGTTCCCCGCCGTTGAGGTTCATTCCCGGAGTTATACAATCCTGGATCCAGGGTGATGAAGAGGGGACGGAGGAGACATCTCTGTCCTCATCCAGAAACCAACACCATTCTTCTTCTTCTTCGTCTTCTTCGCCAACCATCTTCTCGCCTCGTCGTTCCGGTTCGTCAAGTCGTTGTTTATTTGGAGATCTCAACACCGCCGGTGGCACCGAGGGCCTTCTTGAGGTCACCGTAGATGGCGAACTGACCGGCAGTGAGGGTACCGACCATGAAGAGACGGGCACCGATACCGGTGTAGGAGCCGCGGATGCCGAGCTCCTTGGCGATCTTGATGAGGCGGGAGGTGGTGCCTTCACCGGGGAGACCCTTGGTCTTGTTGATCTTGGAGAGCATGGTGTCAGCGGGCTGGGAGACGATGGCGGCGGCGAAACCGGCCATGAGACCGGAGCCGAGGTTGACGGCGGTCTGGGCGCTGTCGGAGAGGGTGTTCTTGGGGTACTGGCGGAAGATGGCCTCGGAGACCTTCTCGAAGACGACGAACTTGGACATGGTGTAGGGGATCCTGAAAAGGTAGTGTCAGTTTTTGGTGCTCTCTTTGGATTGCGTGCACAAGCCGGATCGTGCACGCCAAAATGTGCTAGGGTGTAAAATTTATACTTACTGCTTGAACAGAATGGGTCCGAAACCGGCGTAGAAGGCACCGATACCCTCGTTCTTGAGCATCTTGCTGAAGCCACCGATGAGACCGTTGGCGTAGGTGGGCTCGGAGACGAGACGGATACGGGTGGCCTCAAGGGGGCACAGGGCAATGTCGGCGAAGAACTCGGCGGCAGCGGAGGAGGCGAGGTAGACAGCAGTGCGGTTGTTGACGGCGTTCTCGTAGCCGATCAAGTTGATGGACTGCTGCTTGAAGAACTCGTATCCACCGAACTTCAGGGAGCCCTGGAGGAAGTAACCGGCAGCGGTAGGTCCGAAGCCAGTGAGAAGAGCGCCGGCACCCTCGTTCTGGATGACCTGCTTGAAGCCGCCGATCATACCGCGGTTGTAGGTGGCGGGGTCAAGCTGGATTCTGGTCTTGACGCTGTTTATGCCATGTTAGCCATTTGTGCCAATTGCTTCGATACCATTGCGGTATGTCATTGCCGACTGCCGCGATTGAGCGGAGAGCTTCGCTGGCGGATGGCGGCTTTTCTCTTCCATTGTCCGCCATTTGGCTTGTGAAAGGGCACGCGCACCGGCCAGGGAGAAGCTTCTTTTCCCAAATGTGGAATCGTCAGAGAGAAAAGACCTACACATCGACGGGAGTAAGAGCACCGTGGGTAACGGAGCAGCAGACGGCACCGGCAAGGGCGAATCTGGAGTAGAGGGCGAGGCCGGAAAGCTGGCCAGGGGCGGCGGCAGCAGCCTTCTCGACGACGGCGTCGACCTTGGCCGAGCCGGTAGAGGGAACGGAAGAGGCCATTGTGGCTGTGATGTGTGAATCGAACCGGAGAAAACAATACAAAAGGCTGAGTGGGGAGGGACTTGTCACGAAGAGCCGCGCAACGGGATCGTGAGGTTCAAGGGGATGGAGGATGGATGGTTAAAAAGGGAGAAACTTTTTTTTGTTGTTGTCGAGGGACGGGAAGTAAGAGGTGGCCGGGTAAAAATTGTGAGGCCTTTTTTTAGCGGCGCCGCGGCTGGGGGGGGAGAGGAGCGAACTAGGACCGAGACAGGCGCAATTGGGAACTTGTCCTTTGCAGCGGAAAAGATTGGCTCGGGATTACTCGGGTACCCGCGATTGCGCACTGCTCGAGAGGTACGTATCTGCTATCACACTGGATATGACCGGGGTGAGCTCTTGCTCGGTCTCTCGGAAAAATCTTTGCGTGGACAGTCGCTGGTCGGCCAAGGTTTAGCCGGGGCGGTCCTCCCGCAGCATCCAGTCCTGGCACGCCTTGCTATGCATTCCATCGTCGCAGTTCAAGTTTTTTTCTTTCGTTTCCTTCCAACGCAGCACGCAAAAAGACTACGAGGGATCCACCCGTCCACTTAGCGTCTTCCATTGACCCATGTGTTTGCCCGTCAGTGTCGTCAGAGCTGTCCAGGATGGGCCATCTAGAGTCTAGAGATACGGATACCTCCCGCTACCTGACTGCGTAGCTATCGCCGTTGGATACAGTCTGTGATAATTACCTAATCTTCAACCTTGATGTTCTTGGTCATTAGCAATTCCATCCATTGCACTCTTGACGGCGCACATCGAGGCCACCAGAGCCCAAGTCTTGTTCCGTACATCTTACGTCCCTGAAACAGCGTTGTGATGCCCGGCTTGGTGTAGATTTCGACATCTGCGTCAGAGCCGCCCTCCATCATGACTCAACATTCGCCATCCTCTCACCTGCCCTTCTAGCGGATGAGGTAAGCTCGGGAAGCTCTCCGGCTGCACCCAGCCGCCAAGCATCTTCCGACTCCGCTGCTCCGATGCCTCCGGGTAAACTGCCGACTACCGACAAACGTGAGGCATTCGTGAACAACTATGGAAGTCAGCTCGAGACGTCTATCAAGGCAGTTGAACTGAAGTTTCAACAGTGCTCCCGTGTCAATATCATGAATTTTGATTCCCGATACCAATGGTGTCCCAGAGACAATGCTGAAAAAAAAGAAAATACGCCGGAAAATCCTGACTTCATAAAAAATACAAACTCGGGATAAAATAATACAGCGCCAAAAATACATGTTAGCACCGCTGAATACTACGCGGCCAAAATGCTATACCACATCTCAGACCGTTATCATCAAATGACTCGATATATTGCAAAACATTGCCCGCCGATAATTCTTTTCGTTCCCATTCCAACACCTAGATTTTTATCGCCAAAGCAAGCCCCGGCTCGTAGTATGCCGATTGATCGTACTTCTGAGGGTATATGTAAAATGACGGTCCAGTTCTGTGGAACGGCAAAAAGATGCAACATAGCCGTAGATGATGGTAATTCCGGCTATATCAACAAGATAGTGAATACCTATGAGCCTGGATCCATATTGTTATTTTCGAATAGACCCAAAACATCTCCAGGCAGATATTCCAACCATGGTGGCATCATCTCGTTTGGCAACCCCAATGCTCCAATATCAATCGGATTCTCAAAGGTGATGACATCCGTGATGGGACCCATGCCTTGGCCAAGATAGGAGTACGTTGCGTTGGCGTACGTAGGATCGAAAGCAATGTGCTGCCCGCTATGATGCTGTTGCGATACCGCATCGTGCATATTGCCAGATGGCGAGACCGACGGCATCATGGAGTGGTCATATCCTGCCGAGTTGTGTGACGAAGGTGTGAAAGACGTCGGTTGCTGAGTGTGCGAAGTTGCAGCTAGCATTGGCCCGGCATGGCGTGTTGGAGGTGAATTTTGCTCTTCCTGGATGCCTTCAAACTGCAAATGGCCTCTTCCTTGATTACGCGGGCTCATGGATGATGTCGACAAGCGTTGCGTATGGTGAGAACGTGACGTCTGTCGCATGGCAGAAATAACTGGTTGGGGATATGCAGTAGCAAAGATGGAATGGGGAGCCGTCTCGGGCAAGCTCTGGCGGATTGGGTCATATATCATGTTCCCAGGTGGTGTAGGCGCAGATGCGGGATTGTTGGATTGTTGAGGCTGCACGGAGCCGTGATGGCCAGACTGATTGGCATGCATGTTCTGGTACATGAGCGTTAGGCTCGAGTTTGGTGAGTTTGTCGTGCCCGTGAGGGACCAAGCTATTGGCGGCATATTGGGCGTCGATGGATGTGGGAAACGCCCGCCGATTGAGCCTCGGCGAGGCAGTCGGGCGCTCTCGTACTCCTCGTTGGTGTACGTCTCACAGTCCCATATCCCCTTGGACTTCTGGTCGAGCGCTGTGAGGATGTATTTGACTCCGCCCCAATACTTATGCAGTTGCTGGAGGCTCTTGTAGCAACGAGAGTAATTTTGGTTGGCAGCCGACGCGAGGAGAGAGTGCTTAGTAGACATTCTTTGCTCATGCGAGGATGACTTTTGTCTCTGACCCTCCGTTTTGGGCTCGTTTGGCGGAGATGTTTCTCGCGACGTGGGGTTCGAGGCGTTCGCGATAGACTCCATTAAGAAAGCGCATGCAGCAATGTACATTGGCTGGGATGTAAACGGGTTTCCTATGAAGCTCTTGGGGTCGATGAGTTCTGCAAAGGCGAGAATATCGGCAATCGTCTTGGCGCTAGACATGGAAAGCTCGCGACTGTTAGGTAGAAGCTGATGTGTGCTCCTTAACGAGCCAAAGGGGGTCAGTAGAGTAGGTTGATGCAGTATAATGATGAGCGCATGGAACCAGAAGTGAAGAAGAATGAAGTTTGTGCCCTGTCCCAACTTCAAGTACGTCTTGAAATTGGAGACGCTGAAGTGTAGCCGGGGATCTTGCTTTTGGTAGAGCTTCGTCAGCTCATGCTCCATCCGCGAAAGCTTTGCCCATTTCTCGGAGGTAAGATCATTTGCGTTGCGAATATTGTTCAAAACGTCGGATACACGGCCGTAAAGATGGATGATCTGGATGAAGACAGGGAAAGGGGCTGGCCAACCCGATGCCGGGTCAAGAGTTGATACTGGCAGAGCCAATTCAAAGTCGTCATCACGAATTGTCACAGGCCTGCCTGTTCCAGAAGATATTACTCTGTCAAGAACGAAAACAGCCCAGAACGTGTCGGTACGTTCTTGCTCAACCTCGAGCTGCTCTTCGCGGGTGAGTCCGTTGTCGTCCTCTTGTGGACCGTCGGTTGCTCCCACATCACTGCTTGCTTGGTCTCCGTGGCGAGTGTACCAGGGGTCTCTTTCACCTTGGTATATGACGCCGACCATCTTCTGCAAGCCCAAGTCAACGGCCATGCGGATGGCCAGACCCAAGTACATCCACAGAGCACTGTCTTGATCTGCCCCGAAACCTTCGTACGCCATCATCAAAAGCGCCTGAACAGCGCCTACAGACGGACAGGGGAAAGTATCAACAGTGGCAGCCTTTGCTCTGTGGGCGTAAAACTGGCCTTGTTCGGCATGAGACGCCTCTTCGTCTTTGCTATGCCCGAGTTGTGGCAAGTCGGAGAAACGGGCAGCCAACGCGCACACAGCGTCGACAAGAATAGGCTCAACACGCTTCTCCTTGACCATGCGGGTGAAGTTACCCTCCTTCAAGAAGGGATAGTTGCAGCCCAAATGCAAGAAGAAGGTTTTGACTAGGTGTAGAACTAGGGGATGGACTGGCGCAGGGTCGTTGGGATCGTAAACTGGTAGGTCCTCGTCGGCAACAGCGACCTCTTCATGCTGAGGTATACCTGACAGAGCCATTCCCATAGATTGAACTACACTGGAACCTGAGCTTGGTGATGTAGCCCCGGCAGAGCCGCCAGTGCTTCGCCTGCGGTCCCGTACGGACACCACCATCTGCTTGTAGCCGGGAACGATGGCTGTCGGGCCAAAGTAGCGGAAGTAGGGCACCCTGTGACGCTCTGTATGATGCGACACAGGAGAGCGGCTCTGTGTACTGCGTGCATCGTCGGAGAAGGATGTTGCGCGAGGATGTGAGGGTCGTCGAGGTCGAGAGCTCTGGTCTTGGTCACGAGAGCTATGTTCTGACGAACGTCGCAGGAAGGTCGGCGAGTGGCCCGCATTGGTGTCGACAACGTTCTTGGGAGGTTGTTCGCCTTCCGATTTGAATCCAGAGGGGCGCCGGCCGGTAGCGGTGTTCTTTCCATGCTTCCTCTTGTCGGGGTTTCCCCCTTCTTCTTCCCGGATATGTTCGTCGTCCTCCTCGTCTTCCTCTATGTCGTCGTCCTCGTCATGGTGGGGATCCCGGGTGGCGATGGCGCCACTTGAAGATTTCTTCTCAATCACTTCATTATACCCCAAGCAGGTGTGTCCGTTCTTGGCGCAAGTTGAGCAGCTGGGGCGCTCGCCGGCGCATCTCGTCTTTCGTTTGCGACAGGTCAGGCATCTGTCGAGGGCCGAGTCAGGTTAGCTTCTGCATACAAAAAACGATTCATGGGCAGACATGCAGTAACTGTGCTAGGAAAACAGCACCAGCCGCAACGACTAGCAGAGGAGCAGCAAAGGAGGAAAACTCACGCGGCGTTGATCCTGCGTCTTTTTGATGGCGGATGGCCTTGGTTTGTGACGAAGCGGATCTGCTTGGGCGCGGGGGTCGCTCCGTTGACGATGGAGGTCATGGCGCGCAAGGTGAAGGAACCTCTCAATAGCGACGCAGCATGATGCTGCGCTGCAGTGGGCGGAGAATGGCTGAAAGGGTCAGAAGGGGACCAGACCACAGTAAAGGACTTTACTGCGTAGCGACAGAACGGCAGCGGGCGCAGCAGCAGCAGAGCAGCGGGGAGTGATCCACGTCGGGCCTCCAAGTCAGGTCAGGCCTGGGTGGAGATGGCAGGTGTCTCCCGGCTCTGAGGGGCGACGGAAGTTTGTAGCGGGTTGCTTAAACCGGGGTGTAGCTTCCGGGGCAAAGTGCTAGGTATTAGATAGGTGCGGCGTGCTTGGGGGAAAGCTTGGGTTGTGCAGGATGTAAAGGGGTTCCGGTGGAGACGCGGTGCTGTAGCTCCAGATCCAGGCGGGTAGGGCTCAAGCTTCAGCTGAGGGATCGGGCGACGGAAGTCAATTGTGTGTTGGATGGAGGTGGGACATGGCGGCCGGAAGTCTCATGGAAGAAATGGAGATGTCTTGAGGGCCGTAGTCGTGCAACGTAGAAACATGGCCGTTTCATCCCGTCCCGAGGAGGGGGACAAAAAGAAAGTAGTTAGAGGTGGCAACGGACGGGTTACCTGCACTAATTAGACCACCAAGAAAGGGGGGATGAGATGATGGGATAGGATGGGATGGGAGGGGGAAAGAAAGCAGATGGGCAGAAAAAGATCAGCAACCTTGGACGGGCTGGCTTGGTGAGTGGTGGTGAATGGTGACTGGGCAATGCGGCAGATGAGGAGGGAAGGCAACCGAGGAAGGGGGTGACGAAGACGAGCGAGGAAGAATGAGGGGAGGGGGGATGTTGGGGGCACTAGGGGGATGAAGGCGGTCGGGAGAGGCGCAGACGACGACGATGATGTTGATGGGTACGGAGTATCAAGTGGGAGTATGGCGTAGGCGTAGGCGTAGGCATAGGCGTGGACGCTCGGCGTCGTTAGAACTTGTCTCGTCTTGTCTTAGATTGGCATCGGAGGGCGGCGCAGGACAGGTTGTGTGGTTGTGGTTCGTCCTTCTTTGGACGGGATGTCGGGAGAGCGATCGTGCGGTGGACTGGACTGGTGGATGGCTGGATGATGGACTGTTGGTGTTCGGGGAAGACGGGGAAAAACGATCGGGGGTGAAGGTGGGATGGATGGATGGGTGGTGAGTGGTGGGAGACGCAGGATGCAGCGTCGACCAGGGAGGGGGGTCCTGTCGGGTCGAGGGAGAAAAGCGGAGGGAAACCGTTCAATTAATGCTTCCATCCGTTGCATATTGTGAGATGACAGAACAATTTAATTATAGGAGAATTCCGTCCTGGGGTACCTTATTCTGAATTGCCTAAGGTATGCTCCTTCCATCCTTATTGTGACAAGTGTTCAATCCACGGAGGAAAGAGCTCTCCAGACATGAGAATGGAAGGTTCCTTCCTGCCTTCTCAAATTGTGTTGTGATCACAGACAACTGCACCTTCCCGCACACAGCAATTCCGAAGCAATGGAAAGCACGAAAAACTGGGTCCCGTCATCCGTCAAGTCGGCATCCGCATGAGATGATCATCAATCATCTCACCAGTCTCCGCGTCTTCGGGTCCGTCCTTGCATCCATGTACTCCGTAATCACGTCTGCGCCATTCTTGATACTTCGCTTGGTAAAAAGTGAGGGGCTGTTCTCTCCGAAGAAGCGTGGCCGCTGGGCAGAAAAGGTATAAGTGAGCACATTGCCATGGGCCGAATCTCGACAAGACACGGGCCAAGCCCAGTTCAACACTTATCACTTGTATCCGTAATTCATCCAGGGAATCTCGCATGCTTGGGCACAGCCTCGTGCGATTTGGTCCGAAAGATTACCAACTCAGGCTTCACCAGTGAAGTTGATAACTGACCAAAATGGCCATCCACTCACATACGCCATCGTCCAAACTCACTCCCCTCTCTCTCTCTCTCAAGCTGCCGTCCACGGATCTCACCGCTTGTGAAAGCCGGACATATCGGCCAAGGGAATTAAATCTGACTACCCCGTTGAAAAGAAGGTGCCGAGAGAGAGAGAGAGAGAGAGAGGCTTTCATGTCGGAGTATATCGCTTCAGGCAGTTACTTCCACCGCGAGTTTGGAGACTTTCCCCCCGCCTCACGCTGAAAGCATCCAATGCGTCGGCACTTGCTTAGATCACTTATCAGAATCCCTATGTTTGAAGAACCCAACTCCCCTCACGTCTCTGATGTCGCCAAGTCCATACCACCGGTACCCAAACGCACTCATAGAACCATCTGCCTCTTCTCCCCCATTTGCCGTACCCTCTGTGCCTCTCACAACAACACCAGCCTCACTCATCCAATCCACACAAACCTCCAACGAACCTCAAGAACCCTTGGTGTGGTATTCCCATCTGACCATGCATCAGAAAGTGAAAGTCCGGGCGATTTCGTCTCACCTACGGAGTACACCAAATATCCAACCAGACTTACTCAGACTCATGCCGGTATTCCCCTCCCCTCCCCTCCCCTTTTCTACCCTCCTGGTCGGCTTGTCCACACCACATCAAAAGTGACCCGCTTTACCCCAGATCCCCGAGGCCCGCGTCAGCCCACTTGCGCCCTCGGGAACCACGGGAAGCCCGCGCGGGCTGGTGCCACCAGTGACGGTACTATTGGAACCCAGAGACTGGGCGGTAACTCCTCACCTTGGGCGTTCGGCTCAATCTGGGACACAAAGCCTGGCCAGCAGCCCACCGTCACGGTCCTAGTTGCCTCATACAAGATAGGTCAGATAATGAAGAGTAACTTGGATTAACTAACGCCTACTACAAGATGATGATATCGTAAAATCTCAGATAAACTCCTTGTCCCGCAAACACACCTGCAGCTCTGGCTGGCCCCCTTTGAAATACTGCCTTCTCATGTGCGACCTCAAAAGAACCGGTAGCGCCGAAACCACCGCCATATTACCGTTAACCCCCGCCCCCGTAAAAGATTTTTTTTTGTGTAAACCACACCTCCCTGATTTGCCTGCCTTTGCTCATTACGTTCAATCTCATCGATGACTCCATACTATATACGGTGGGCGGTGATGATGGACAAGTCCGTATCCAAAGAGACGACATGCTGCGTCCCTCTACCCAAAGACAATCGTGACGCCCATGTCCTCGCTAACACGTCTCCACAAGTCGGCTCCTTTACCGAGCCGTTGGCCAGGTGTGGACATTCCAATGGCATGATCCTCATACGCGGCATGGTCGTCAATCATGTCTGCTCGCCTCCAGACCTCTTGCGCAATTGTCCACGCACGCTGAATGTTCGTCATGCCCTGCCGGCGTTCAACAGCCACAAAAGCCTGCCGGGCTAGTTGTCGGTCGCTCGGGCTGATGGCTTCGCATGCTGCCACAAACAGTGGCCACAAAAGAGCCGCCATGGGTCCGGCGTGATTGACTGTTGCAGCACAATGGCTAAGTGCCGCATGCGTATGGTGCTGAACAAGATGATGCTGTCTCGGGTATCCGTAGATGCTGCGGTAGAGATAAACAAACGCAGAGTGGCGGTAAGCGAGGGCATTGTTGAGAATCGAATGCAGGCGTGCGCGCTCAGAAACAATATCAGGCTCATCTGAGCTCAGGTCGTCCATCGTGTCTGGTGAGAAACCCGGAGGAAAGCTGGGTTGCCACTGCTTGAGGGCATGCTCAATTGCGTCCGAAGTGGTCTCGAATTCGGAGCGCAGGACCGCGACCTTTGTGAGCTGACCGTTGGTAATCGCTGTCTGGAGCTCGGTTTTGAGGGCGAGAAGGTTCGAGAGGCGGTGGATAATAGGCCAAAGCGTTGTAGAGAAGCCAAGCAACGTATCGACAGAGTTGAGAGGCGAAGTGGTAGGGGAGTCAATCGGTGGGAAAGGGATGAGGCATCCTGTCGCTGGTGCGGTGGAGAGGGGAGCTGTGCCAAAGGAAAGCGCAGCAATAACATCGTAGAAACGGAACGCCTGGCAAAAGGGTCAGCCAAACATCACACGGACCGGGATGCAGGAAACTTACGCGTTCGAGAAAAGCGGTGGTCGGGTCGGTGTTGTCACTGCTGCCGCTCATAATTGCAATGGCACCTTTTAGATGACCATCAACAATATTGGACCGGCCTTGTTGCACGAGCTATCGATCAGTTAGTTGAAAAGTCGTTGAAGGCGTTGGAAGCAAGAAAACTTACTACTTCATAATAGACAAGCAACATGATCGTGGCCAAAAGCTCGTTCTTATTTGCTTCCCCACCGAGTTCAATCAACCGAGCCAGGCCTTGGATGGCTTGGTTGTGGAAATAGACCGCCTTTTCTTCCGTGTGACCGCAGCCTCTGTTCTCCAAATGCGCACTCGCGAGCGCATAGATAGCGTTTGTGACGGTCTTGCTCCTGTGGCACAGCGGCAGCACAAGTTGCTGGAACGGATTCCCGGCTTCCGTCTCTCGCAGCACTATGAGGTGTGACATGACGTTGGTAAAGTGATCGACTAACGCTCGACGGTTCGGCCGTTCCGAGAACTCGGAGAACGTCGGGAACAGGAACTCGAGACGCGGCGACGCCACTGGGACAGGTGCTATCATGGCCAGGTCCGGGTGGCGCTGAGCTCGTGTAACTGCAAGATTTTGAATGGCATCCTGCTGCACAGAGCGACGGCGAACAATCTCCTCGTCTGCATCTTCCAATGAAAGATTGAAAGCGACAGAGTCTACCGGAGAGATCAGCGGAGCGTCGTCCTTGTCGTGATGCAGACCAAACATCTTCTTGAAGTCGTAGGCCAGCGGGTCGGCACTGTCTTCCGGTTCCTCTAGAATGGCCTCCTCCACCGCTCCATCGTCTTCGTCGTCAAGAGCCTCCTCCTTCCAACGTCTAATGGTAGCATCGGGTGCTGAATATCGTCGGATGAGGGCGCTTCCGCTCGTGAGAGAGGCTGTGTCGGAACCGAAACCGGCAATGGAATCACGCTTCTTGCGCTGTCGAGGCTTGACAGGTTCGTAAGAGCATTCCTGGCCACGCTCGGCGCATCGAGAGCACTGCGGGCGGGATTCGTCGCATTTCTTCTTCTGCAGGCGAGAAAATCACAGTTAGAATTGTTTGATAGGTGATTTGGAGGGGTTGCTGCCGCGATCCCAGGACAATCGGTTCTCCGAATGAGAAGGCTCGTACCTTTTCTTTGCTGTTCAACGAAGTCAGTAAGGAGCTCGGATCAAAACAGTGAGGAGGGAGGGGCTGGCTGGGGTTGACTCACCAATAAGTACATCCTGCATGAAGCAAATGAGTTCATGTCAGAGATCGGCTCAAAATATGACCAGTAAAGGCAAGTGTGTCATGACGGAATAAAAGGGTGCGAGATCTGGGGCAGCATCACGAAGCCATTCGAGCGGCAATAGCGAAGCGCATTCGGGGCAGTGAATTGGCCCAAACGAGGACCACTTGGCTGGGGGCGGGAGGGAACAAAGCGGAGGCAAACAGCAGAGCGTTTGGGTATTAACTCACCTGATCTGGATCGTCTCTTGGGAGCCTTTGGCGGGGCGAGTTTAGTATACAGTAACATGATGCTCAAGAGCTGGAACCTGTGGCGCGCACAGGCATGGCGGTTTTCAAGGTTGCCGGAGTTGTGTTTCTCTCAAAAGATGTGGTATATGGACGAAGTTGCCCTACACCTACATCACGCACGGAGAGAAGGGAGAAGGCCTGCGGTAAGAGTGTGTGGACCGAGGCTACTTGGCCTAGAAGACGAACGAAGACAGGCTTTCACGATGTCGGGTAGGGTCCCGCAGTAATAGGTGACGGTCGGGGTCAGCGGGCGCAAGGTGGTGCTGGTTTTGCTGGTGGTGCCTTATGGGATGGAGGGGTGAATAAGGTAGAATCGAGAAGCTCGTGGGGACTGGAGGAAGTCGACCAAGTCTGTGTAGTGGGTATTTCCCTCGTCTCTTTTTCCGCCCTTTGACTCTGTTCCAGCCTAATACTCCTTGCCTTCTGCTTAAGAATCGATTTGTCGGTCTGGTGCCGAGGGTAAACGGGCTTTAACGAGGAAAGCTTTTCTCTCTTTCTGGGTTCTGTTCTCGCCCTTTTTCGACGGGGCCGCAAGCTTGGAGGGCCAGGGGCCGGGGGCCGATGTGCTGAGGTGAAGACGAATGCGTATTGTTGGTCCGTTCTCTTAGGGCGTGGGGGATGGGGAATGTAGGTGGTGCTTCTGGAGACTGGAGCAGAACGGCGAGATATGGGGGATTTGGAGAGGGCGGAGAAAGGTGGGAGAAGAGGAGTCGAAGGAGCACTCGTGCGAGTCAAGTAAGATGTCGGGTAAGAGCCGGCTCAAATACCATTGAAAGAAAGGAGGCAGAATCCGAGACGGCGAGAACCTTCAAGAGGCAAATGGGCAAAGAGGCTCGTTCAGCCAGGCGTTTTGGCGATTTTTTCTCCAACAAAGCCCGCCCACCCCCAAAAGCAACCAAAATGGACCAAGGTCAATGTCGAATCCCAAGTCGCGCTGGCGTACCGAGCGAGTACCCAAGGCCCGCCGCCCAAGAGCCGGCGATGGCGGCGTCCTTCCCAATGCTGACAAGACCGCTGCCATCACGCACATCGTGACCAAGAGATCCTGGGAGACTAAGATGTGCTAGAAGCAGAAAGGTGGAGAAATTTGCGGGGTTACAGCGGCGATTCTTGGTGCGGAGATGGGTGTCACAATCTCGGTCGACATGTCTGTAGCCCGTTGGCTCGAGTCCGGTCTCGATGGTGGTGCACTGGTGTCTATGCCTGTTCCCCGTTGGTGGCAGATGGAAAGGTGATTCTCTTTCTATCTGGGTATGTGTGTGTGCGCGCGCGCGCGTGGTTACTGGTAGCCGTGAGGAAGGGTTTCCCTGCGACGTGTGAGCGAGAGCAACACCTGAAGAGCTATGGGATCACAGCACTGTAGGTACGACGACCCGTCTGGATGTTGGAGTAGAGGGGGGCTGCCCCATGTCAGGGTAGATGCTGGTTGGTAATAATTTGTTAATGTGTGTTCTTGAGGGGATGGCATCTGAACAGGGGAGCCTTCGGGAGGCGCTGTCTCGTAGCATCCATGTACTCCGTACTCTCTCTCAAGCTCAGCCAGAAAACGGCGAGGTGCAATCTTGTGCCGTGACGATTCGGGTCGACCCTAATGCTGCCAATTTCCCTCGTCGAATTCTGTTTCCCCATGGTCTTGTCAACTCAAGGAACCGACACAGCCCATTGAATCTCCCGTCCGGTACTTCGTCATGGTGACTGGCCTGTTGCAGCAAGGCATCTGCCATACCTGGCTACCATGCCGCGCCCCCGGGACTTGATTGCCATTGTGTCAATGTCCGATGCCAGCTGCCAAAAGCGCGTCCTTTGTCAACCACCTCAAGCCGATTAGGGCAGAAATAGAACAGAATGAGAAGGTGGCGCGACATAGCGTTCTTTGCAAAGTTCGTATACGGTCATCCCAGCTAGGAACGAAGCTAAGGAGGCGCTTCTGCTGCTTCTAAGCTCCGGCTAGTCGCTGAACCTACCACAACTGCTCCGGCTCGCGAACGGCTCTGCAGGCTTCTGCCGCATTCCTTTCGGTAGCGAGCCAGAAACGTCATTCCTCCTTGTTGATGCGAAATGGTCGCATCTGCATTGCCACTATTGCCTGAGGCCTGGTGATGTTCGCATCTCCCTTGCAGGTCTCACAAACTTCGATTGTCAGTGGGCGAATACCATCGGTACCTGTGATTAGGACCCTGCAGCAACCGGCAAAGTTTAAATGGCGTAGTCGTTCAGACGGCTCGGAACTCTGATTCTTTGCCAGGCAGCCAGACCTGAGCTCCGCCTAAGGCAGTGCTGTAATTGGAGACTGGCACGCCTGGCACGTCTGGTTGTCTCCGTAGTGTCGCCAGGGCTGTGGTTGCGTTGATTGATTGGGTTGGAAAAGAATGAATCGAGTCACTTGACTATGTTGGCCTATCCACCAATCCAGCCACGCCGTCGCGCGGTGTCGTCCTCCAGTCTACCAGCGGAACCGAGATGGCCACTGCTGAATTCATTTCCCACGGGCCGTAATTATTGTGTAGCAAGGGGTCATGAACTGGCTGGCAGCCTGTAACTCGGACTTGGACTGTGACATTGTCGAGTATTGTCATTTGTTAGGATATCGAGCGCATGACGGCAATCAGCGAAGGCAGTTGATCCGAATGCCGGTGGACGATGTGAGGGTGCGTGGGTGCCAAGCCCTGCATGTATCCTCGATGGTCTTGCTCCTTTTTGCCTCTTTTTTCACTGAACGCAAGCATTCGACGAGGCACACGCTTGTGACGACACGACTCGAGCGCCATGTTAGCTCGGGAGGTTAGCCGTGGTTGAGACGCAGACACCACCACACACACACACACCCATGATCCTGGAGGCAGGCCGCCAAGTGATGAAGAAGGTTTTCTTCCCCGCATTCTCCGAGCCCTCAACCGCCGTTGATCCGTCCAAGCCATGGGGTAGCGTGCCTGGAATCTGGAGATGACACAGACTGGGTGGTCGTGACGATGTTCTCGATGGCTTCCAGCCCCTTTCCAGCTGGGTAAGACCCAGAGTCCTAGACGGGCCTCGTGTCTCCGATGCTACCGCATGGCGCAGGATGAGATTGGTGCCAGGCGGTAGGTGACGGAGGAGAGGCGGGCTGACGGGATCCTGGGTGCGGGTTGCGACGCTTGTTAGTGGCAGGATGAGGGGGTTATCGGTGAGGGGAGTGACTTGAGCGGTCAAGTCGATTTTTCTGGATATTTTGTCTGCCTCAGCTGGACAGAACACAAAGTCGAGGCTCGTACTTGAGCTGTACAAAGATGTATCTCGTTGATCGCAAGGTAAGTCTCAAGAGAAACGGTAGTAGTATGTACTTTGAGCTGCTCAGGTGGCTGCGAATTGGTAAAAGCTGGCACCTAATGTATCGCATTCTTAGACACCCCCGTGTATTCGTAAACAGTTGCCGTTGCCCATGCCCTGCCAGGTATTGACGGCACTGAGGCACATACGAAGCACAGGGCAGAGTTCGGCTTGTCTCTTTGGCGAAAGACAGAAGCGAAGACAAAAGATGAGACGAATCCGGGGAAGGTCTCCCAAAGCAGAACTTGTAGCGGTTGATCGGCGGAGCGTCCTGTCAATATTCTGGAGACTTTTGAAGGAAGTGTCGGGCTGCGGGCAACCGGCGGGAGCGTCCAGCGTGAATGGAGACGAGGACTGGGCGGCGGGTCGTAGAGGAACTTCAAGGGACCAGAGCCCACCTCAGGCGGACGATTCGACTCCACGAGCCCACTGACAAGGAGAGGTTCCCGCCGACGGTGTTTCCCTCGCGCTGTCCAATCGCATTGGGGTTTGGGACTGAGCAAAGAGCAAAAGTTCTGCCCTCTTTTTCGCCATTCTTCCGTCGATATTGCTGTGGAGTCGTTGTTCCTCGCCAAGGGCTGGAACTTGGTCCTTGTTAGGTAAGGGAAGGAGAAGTGTTATTCCTAGATTTGTCTTGACGAGAATTCGGATATGTACCCCTACGATTCTACGATTCCGCAGGTCCTGGGAATCTAAACATGTCCTGCCTGAGGCTGCATAGAAGTCTGGTGAACCGTGAAGACTGGTGATGGGTGGCAAGCACGGCATGGTTGCCCCATACTCGCTCCTGCTCTTGCTGCCTCCCACTAACACACCAGCGAACCAATTAACACTGCAGGTGTACGAAGATCAAACATTGAGGAAAGTGCGAGCACTTCCTTGGATATCTCCGGGCAGGCACACAGGACACGGGAAGCACACGTGGAAGGGAAGTCCGCACCTGCATTTGTGCGGCGTGTCTGCTCTTTCCGCTCTTTGGTTCGTTCTCCATTCATCAGTACTCTGTACCTCACCCAATGTGCCTCAGGCAAAGGAATATCCAGATCGGGGCAGGTACTGTCGGCTAAGTTGCACCTTTTGCTGCGTGCCTGCCGCTCCCACGCCTTGTCCACGCCTTCCTCGCTCGTTTCCATCGGTGATCACGCTGATCTTCTCCCCCTTCTACCTCCAGTGCAGGCAGGCACGCAGTCTATGTTCCTGCCGTTGGGACTTGGGTCATTGGCAATACCTTACTCCGTAGTCCATGGGATCGGCAATCATGGGCTTTGCCTCTTTCCATCCCTTCTCCACCGCTGCCGCTGCCATGCCGTTGTGCCTGAGATGACTTATAAATAGTCGACAAGTACGTACCTCTTCCGGCACCAAGACTCTGAGGTGCCGTCGGGCGCATGCCTTCTTGGAAGAACTCTCGCCAAGCAGCTTGCCTTCTGCATCTCGTTGCCGCGAGAAACAAACAAACACCATTCCGAATTTCAGTGTCTCTCAGTTTCATCGATAGCTCAGAAACACTCGCCGAGAATCAGGCATTCATCCGCCGCCTTAATTTTCATCATGCTCCCTCGAGCCATATACAAATAGTCTTCCTGCCATTAGATTCAAGCCGTCAGGTAGTTGGCGAGGCTGCTAAGGTTCCTTTCTGAATGAACACTCGGTAGGCTTCTGATCGAACAACAGCACACCTCTCATTTCCCAAATTTTCATCTGATGACCAGACTAGATCCGAGTGGATGGTTCGCTTGTTTGCAGCTTTCTTTTTTCATCCCAAACCCTGCGTCATCCAAACGCAAGGTCCGTGCCAAACAAAGTCGACTTCATCCGCCACTTTGCCATGAGGGATCGCAGCTCGCCCTTCAAGAGTGGAGACAAGGGCGTATCAAGAAACTTCGACTTGATTGCAAGTTTGCAATGGGAGGTCTTCTTTACCAGACTCGCTCACAGCCTTGGTTTTGCTTCGCAGGCCCGGTTGACGCACGGGGTGCCGTTGTTTCGTGAGACACGGGGAATCTGCAAGCATCAACATGGGGGCCCAAATCGATGTCTTGCTTCTGTTTTCTGGAATATGCAGCCATCCTTGTGGCTCGGATATTGACTAGCTCCTTCAAAGGCGCTGGTCCGCTCATGAAGGCCATTGTGTAGGCCATGTCTAGCCAGGGCTTCGACGACATATGGGTTTCATCGAGTGATGAAAAGCCTCGTTGGACATCTTACCTTCACAAATAGATATTGTGGGATATCTGCATATGCCCTCCCGAGGAATCTAGACCGTAGGGGAGAAGCAGCCGAATGAATGCGCGTCGCTGCGGACGTAAAAACCATCGTCCGATGCTGTTGGTCGTTGGCTATGGAAGCGCTGGTGTTGGCTCAGTGTCGCATTCACTTGGATACAGCCCCCAAAGACAACCAAGGACGGAAAACATTGCAGACAGCAATCCCAAATATGCGCATCGCCAACAAGCTGCCCACTCGCATCTACGTCCCGGGCTCCTCCAGCGACAAGCCGCTGCTCTGCATGCTTGCTTCCCAGCCCGTTTCCTTCGAGCTGCCGCTCCTGTTGGCTGCTTGTCGTTGACTTGCAGCTCACGCCTTCATCTCATTGGTGGCCTTCGACATTCTCACCACACGATGCCCACTCTGAACGGTAAGACAGGCATTTTCGTGCCGCATCACCGCATACAATGTCCGACCAGGTCGTCAGCTGCTTCGTTTCTATTCGTTCCTCGAGTCTGAGACCAGTCGCGCCCAGCATACTCGCAGCAGTGGCGGTGATTGAGAGCAACCAGACAAAGTGCCATTTCTCAAATACCCCTCCACCTTGGTCTTCCTCCATGGTGCTATCGTGGCTTACCAGAGGCTGGGACTGCACTTTACTCACTTCCCATTGGGAGAATATCACCCCTCGTTTCTCCTATTATGGGCAAGCCCGTTATCCAAAGTGCTGACACTCTGACAAAAAAGCCACTTTAGAAATCCCATCATCCCAAAGATGCCCCCGTGGAGCCAGCTGCGAGCCAAGGCCCTCCCGTCACACATGCCCGCAGTCTAGGGATCCGTCCATTCCCCTCCCAAACAGTCCATGATCGCCCTCTTCTCTTCCATCTTCATCTGCATCCACCCGCTGTCGGGTCGATCATACCTGGCGAAAAGAAGACAGACACGCACGCGCGGTATCGAGTTCAACTTGACGCTGCCAGCGCGAGCTATACGGTCGACGGGGTTTCAAGTGAACGACACGCGCTTTATTCAATCACTTCCCCGTCTGCGTCGTCCCTCAGCCCTACTGCTGTGCCCCCGATCGCCGATTATTATATCGTGGGGTGTGACTGCTTGTGGTTCTGCGGTGCTGTGCTGTACACACCCGCTCAGCCCCCCCGGAGACACACCTGCAGTTGGGTCATCTCGATCCTCCTCACGCCTCAAGGCACCAGCATAACTTACCCTCTTCACAAACGATCCGGCCGGCTCTTCAAATCACTCGAGTCGAAAGATCTTCCAAACGCTCCTTACACCGCCGCCGATCTCTCAAGGACCTTGCGCTGCCGTTCGTTCGATTACCCACGCTCGAGACTCTCGACAAAACGCTCGCTGATCCGGAGAATCTTAGATGATCGGCGAATTTCGTAATTCAGTTGCATTGCTCAACGCTTGTGCTTATTCGCTCGATCACCGCCGCCACCATGAGGGTGACTGCTTGCTCGCTTTGCGTGCTGTACTTGGGGGTTGACTTGTTGGTCAGGGCAGTCGAGGGGGCGGAATTCAAGAGACGAGACGGGGTGCACCGCCTTGAGAAGGCACACGTCACGGTCTTTCACGACCTCAATCGAAGGGGCACAACGACTTGTGCGACCGGATACTCTGCTTGCCCGTCAAGCTTGGATGGAGGGTGCTGCGCTTCAGGCTATGCATGCGCGACGGATTCTTGCTATGCGACCACAAGTGCAGCGCAGACTTGCGCAGGAAAACCTGGATATTACCAATGTAACACGGTTTTGGGTGGTGAGTTGGTTTGGTTCCTAACGCTTATCTTGGTATCGTGAGCTGACACACTTTGTCCAGGCGGCTGTTGCCCAGAAGGATACCAGTGTCAAAGAGGCTCAAATTGCGTTCCAGCGTCTGGAGTCATATACTCTCAGTCGTGTCCGGCAAGTTACTACTTGTGCCCAGCTAGCTTGAGCTACGGCTGCTGTCGAGACGGACTAGGCTGCGCCGTAAGCGCTTGCTACTCGACGGAGCCCTCGACTGTTACGGAGACGACAACAATCACAACGACAAATGACGCCGCGCAAGCTGTAACCACGACTGTAACCGCAACTGCTGTTCTAACACCCTCAAGACCTACCACGGCGCCAATAGTAGCAACAGGGGCGAGCGATCCGGATCAAGTTGTGTTCAAATACTATCCGAGCACTGTTCCAAAAGAGCAACCTATCTCGAGCGGCGATGGCAACAGTGATGGATTGACGTCGGGGCAAATCGCGGGTATCGTGGCTGGAGGAGTTGGCCTGCTCATCATTGTGCTGGTGACTGCGTGGATCATCATTCGACACCTCAACAAGGTTGTCCAGGCAGTCGAGACGAGCAACAAGGGAACCTCTTCAGGGGCTAAGTCACGCCCTTCGATGTATGAGTTCAAGCCAACACCATCAGAAGTTGATGATTTGAGCATAGACCCGCTCATGATGTCTCCTCGGCCATCACACCGCAGACATGATTCCGATACGACTGCCGACTTTACACCTCCATATCGTGGAACCCCTGGGTCCGGTGGTGACTATCAGGCAGTACCGCAAGGCTCAGGGTCCGATCGACACGCCAGCTACGACTCAGCATATACAGGAGGCTACTTCGATGTGGCGCCAGATAGGAGTCAGCGCGCAAGCCAGGGATCGAGTGCGTGGATCGGACTACATCGCGGAAGCACGGATTCGCAAGGAACCTACGCGCATCTTCGCCATTGGAGCAACGCCAGCGAAGCCAGCAGCGACCACGGCAGTGCGGGTACTCGAACGCCGCTCCAAGAGCTCGACTCGACGCCGTATGTGCCGGAGTTGGCCGCTTCACCCGTCCCAGAGGCCGCGGCAGATACGCGTCGCCGGTCAGGGAGCGGGCTATCGGGCATGAGCCGGCCACCTGCGGTCCATCAGCGGCGAAGGAGCAGTGAGGGAGGACACGGCAGAACGAGGAGTGACAGCTCTGCTCCAGCTGGGCTGAGTGTCGTGAATGAGGCTTCAGAGCTCATCGGCCACTATGGCCCGACAGATCGAGCGAATGGTCAGACGTCGAATGGAAAGTAAAGCTGCATTCAGTGCGTAGCTTTCCTATGACTATACTTCGCTTCGACTACATGCCGTCGCAAGGCTATGGCGCCAGTCACAGCATGGCTTTCGAGCTAACGCAAGATTTGGAGTTGGAATCCATACACCAGACGATGCCTTCTGACGCTGCAAGGCCCAGGAAGCTTGCATCTCTTCTTTGAATCCATGGTCTTTCTATCGTCCCGGACAATCATTCTGTAGTTATGATGTCCTGGCTGACCTAATGGGCCTCCATGGGCATTACCGAAGAGGCATCTTAATCACCAAGGCAGGCAGCCCCTCATACTTCTTTGGGGATAGAAGTGGTTGATTCTCGATCACGGACGGTTGGGAATAGGAAGTCCTCCGGTGGACGCGGCACAAGGGAGATGGGAGATGGTCGGTGACCGCTCAGGGTTGGGAAATACCATATAGAGAGCGGATGGCGTTTCTAACGGCGAGGGACTCTAGTGCCAACTGGCGAGCACCTCACCGCGGAAAATCGCGGCAAGGGCGGGCTTACTCTGGCGCAAAGTGTTTGGTTTTGCCATCTCAAGTTACAATACATGATACCTTTTTTCCCCCTTACTTTGCAAACCCGCGCTGAATATTCTGAGTGCCTCGCTTTTCACACGCTCTCCAATGCGGAAGAGAACCCCTCGACGGGGGATGAGGCAAGACTTCGCGATGTCGGTTTGAGTTGTAGGGGTTCGGTTCCTTTCTTCAACGATAGACCATGTCATCATGTTCTGCTTTTGCTTTTGGCTTTGCCATTATTCTTCAGAGGGGAAGTTTAGAGTAGATCAGACGAGGCATTGGCCGTCTATGGTATCATCAATCCGAGCGCCTGTGCCCCTAGTACCTGAACAACACCACGATAAAAGATGAGAACAAAAACACGATACTAGACTAATATGTAGGACCAGCGACCCCGACTTTATCTGCGGGGCTATGAGGATCTCATACGGATGACAGCCGTCAAACCCGATTTCCCTCGGGGCAGCATCATCGCGAGACCGGAGGCTCGTCAGAAGTGGAGAGGGATGTTCCAATGAGTAGACAGCTTGGGAAGAGGCGAACGCGAGGCTTGCCTGACAATACATGGTTCCCTCCCATTATACATGCTGTCGATCATATCTGATGAGATGGTACCCCATCATCCTGCTCGTCGGGACAACAACAAACTCGCTTGAGAGTCGTATCTGGGTCTGGCATGCGGAGGGTAGGGGGGAGGAGGGGAATATGGGGAGGCGGCTCTCCCGTAGGTGACAGCATGTCGGCTCCTCGGGATCTCGAACGGAGCCCCAACAACTTGATTGAACAAGAATCTATGGGCACATAATTTCTTCCGCGGACCGTGAATTTGGAGTCGAAGCAAGAGGCCGAGAAGGAGACTAGACCTCGGGGCAGACTCCTCCGTCAATCAGATGCGGCCTTGATCAACCCTTGAAGGAAGACGCACGTTGCTCAGACGGGGCGTTAGTCCGCACCGGGGATAGCACGATGTGTAGATTCCTGTCACTGAGGAGAGCCGGTGCGGGGGAGGTGCATGCTTTGTGGTTCGAGGGCTGGGGGGACAGCGGATGGGCGGGGAGAAGAAGCTGGGGATGGCAAGAGAGGGCACGATTTTGCTTCGCGGAGATTTGATGTCCGAAGAAATATCCTGGGGAAGCTTGTGAGGGGGGAAAGGAAAACTTGGAAGAGATGGGAGATGGGTATCATGGCCGGATAAAGTGCGTTTGTTTACTAGGAGGAACGGCGTGCTTCTTGTTGGATGCGCTTGACCCTTGCGCAAGGCAGATGAACTCGAGGCCGGTGTCGGTGTTGATGGATTGGCTACCTGGACTCATGTCTCCTGAATTGGGTTTCCAGGTATTGATTAGGACTTCTAAGTCAAAGAAGAATACTTCAACTTGGCCAGTAGCGTTACTCAATCGCAAGGTGTTGCCCATGGCCTTGTGTATCTTGACTTGAGGGTAGAGAATTTCCACGGGTAGTACGTGCAGTCCTGAGGAGCCCAAAGGTGTTCAGAATCCCGACATCTGGAAGAGCGCAAGCTAGAGCATAATTAAGACTAGGAAGGTGTCTCAAGCAATCTCCCAAGACACACGCGTATCTTTCGCAGGATTTAAACCTGGGGGATGGGAGAGGCAGGGGTAATGGTGGCCAACGGTGAACAGAGCAGTGAGCTTCGCGATAGCGACAACGTGCTTGTGTCCGCCAAGGTGCTGGACTATTCCATTCACCGAGAGGAAGCCCTCGCTTCCCAGGCCGGCGGAGGTTTATTACATATCATGGTCTACACGTGCTAGTACGGAGTAGAGCCTGGTTCAGCGGCTGGGAGGTGAACATGTGCTCTGAACGACTGGAAAAGTTGGCTTTAGCTTTTCCATCTCTTTGACTCTTTGTCTCCAAATTTTTTGCAGCTCGGCGGGCCGGAGATGGGACGGGCGGGCTTCTTACTTGACCTTAGGCTGTAAACGGGAATGATGCGCCGATGGGGACTAGCCTTATTGATGGAGTTGGGCCAGGGAAGAGAGAAGATCGAGTGGCGACTGGAGAGGAAGATGAGAGCCTAAATACTCAACCCTAGACTAGTCGAACTCAGGTCCGTCGACTGAGCAAGTGTAAATAAATGTAAAAACTCTTGAACGAGACTTCCTCGCCGTCGCCACGTGCAACTCCGGAAGGAAGGTCAATCAAAACAACATCAACGGCCTTCCTTGTAAAGTAAGGAAAGATAATGATGCTTAAAAAGCTCGAAAGGAAAAAGAGAAGAAAAGCTCGGGAACGGTGGAAATTGGGAAGCTTAGTCCAGCAAAAGGCCCCAGCCGGCGCGGGACCAACGAACCAACCTCCACCCACGCTTCTGGGCACGCCCCCCAGTTGCTCCAGCTGCCTCTTTCGGTGAAGCGGGCTTGCTTGTATGGGGGATTCCCCCTGTTGATTAGCTTTTTGGCTCTCGCCGCTTCTCGCTCTCTAGGAGTAGTTATCGTTGGAGGGCCCAGCCGATGACTCGAGGTGTGCCGGCTTGGTATCTGACTATCTGTTGACGATGGAGGAGGATTGGCGGTGATAGTAGGCAATGAGGGAAGTTGAATTTACCTTGTCCCAACGGCCAGCGCCGATGAGATCGAGCGGCGCGTTCCTGGCGCCGTTTGGCCGTTGGGAAGAGTGGGAGACTATGCTGTATCCGTTGCTGATAGCCAGCCTCCGACTCGGGAATGGCGCCGACCAGGTTGACGGGCACTCTTGGTATGTTTAGGCACGGACATTCTGGTCAATTGTCTCCGTACTGATAGTGTCTTTCGATACGCTGAAGGCCTGAGCCAGTTTCTTTGAATAACCATCAACAGCGGACGTTGACGGTGACACCGTAATTTGCGCTGTTGGTCGGTCAGCAGAGGCTGCCAACAGAGACGGGGTCAGGGTTACAGCGCGAGGAAAGCTACGGTGCTGCCAACCTCTCTTCTGGGTTTTTGCCAGGCTTTTTTCCCAGGTGAACACCTTGACAACCGTCGCATGGCGGACGGGGGGTGGTACAGTGTGTTTGCTGTCATGGGTCTCGGCTTGCGACGCTGATGCTTTCGATAGCTCTGTCCTGCGCCGACTGGACGGTGGACCACCCGACAGCGGGCGGCGGGCCCCTGAGGTGGATTGTGCGCAAGCACAGCTCATAAGCATAAAAGCTTCATGGAGTGCCCCTTTCCGTTCTCCCCCAATTGCATGGCCATCTCCGGCTATCGGGAGGGGAACATCCCCCCTCCACTCCGTGGGCTGATGGGCAGGGCGGTTGGCAGGTCTACATAGGTAATCGCCTAATTATACTTTGTACGGAGTACACGAGAACAAATTTTCCGGGCTGAAGAGCTTGCGCCGCGCGGGTGAGGTTAAATCATTCGTTCCTTGGGTTGGTTGGCCTATCTTCAGTCAACTTCCGATTGAGACCAAGAGCCTTTGAAGAGCCTCAAAACTTCTGAACGAATGTAGGTTATGAGATCTTTATGCCGACGAAATTATTCATGACTAACATTGTTCCCCATGGAGGCCAATGTACGATTTGAAGAGAGGAAAAGAGCGAGATGGTGGCCGAGGGTCGCATCGGATCATCACCGACAACATCATCGCCAATGCAGGTCGGCGGCGCGGCCCTTTAGCGATGTGTTCCAATTGGCGGGTTCCCTCCCACTAACGATTCCTATCCAAACTTAGGCTCTTCCTTTTTTCTTTCTCGCTGCACTTTTCTTCGCTCTTGATTTTGCTTTCGCTCCCCGTCCCGTCATCAACAATCAACTTAGAGAGCCCATGTAACTCCCATGACCTTGCCTGCATACCTCTACTTACCGTCTCTTTGCTTCGCTTCTCCTCATTTCCCTCCTGCATATCGGATTTCCCCGCGCTGTACGAATACACACCTTGCTGGAGGCCATGATGCTGCACCCTGCCGAGAGCCGTTCAAAGTCTACTCTTCCTGTTCAGACTCGAGCCAGTTCCGAGACGGTGCTGAATTGAGGCACAGCAGTCTAGATCTATGCTTCGTCTCCGGCCTCACCATCCAACAGTCCGCTTATCAAAACGTTGCTAGGATAAGATATTGACGGGTGATTAAACATGCTTCCAACAACGCGTTGCCTCTGCAATCCCAGTAGTCTGGTCAGCTCCCCCGGACACTGGCAGGCTGAGAAGTTTGAAGTAAGAAACAGCTTGATGGATGGTCGAACTTCTCTTGTGTTGTTTGCCTGCAGCCATGGTGCTTTGTAGCCGTACAGCAAAGTCAAACTCGCGCCTGAACGGATGGTCTAGGTATCCGTACCGCCACACCTCGGCGTCTCTCTGCCAATCGCCTCTGTACCTTGTGCTTCCGTCGTCCGCTGCCGCCCCAAATCTACGACATAGCTGAGGACGCCATGAATTCTTTTACGACACCAGAATAGCAGAGACAACAGCCACAAGCTGACTCTCGCTGTGCCGTCACTACCAATTGCAAGTCGGTCATGGAAGCTCACCAGCCAAGCCGCGCGTTGTGCAGATTTCGATAGCGTTCACGAGAGTCGAGCCGTTTGCCCAACGTGCAGTGCACCCCCAGGTAATCTCCCTTGTATCCGGCCGCGAAGTCAAACCAGAATGTGATCCTCGCCCTTTGTCTCTCGGCGAAGCAACCGGCGTCGTCCCTGGGCATCATTCATAGGCTCTCCAGGAATTCCCGACGTCAATACTAAGGCTAGGCCGAATCAGACCAGCTTCCCCCGCCGTAATAGCGTGGGCAAGGGGGCGTTGGAAAATCAATCTCGAGGTTCCCACGAGGGCGGAAGAACACACGCGTTTTGTTTCTCATCGGAACACTAGCCCTTGAGGTCAAATGTCACTCTCGGCCTTGCGTGTCAGCTAAGAGGTACCTTTTCTCGCAGTCTCGGCCCCATCTTCAAGGGCCAACCTTTGCTGCGGATACGCTGCGCTACTTCGCACGCTACGCCTACGATGCGCATCTTTTCATGTTCCTGCTGTTCGCCGCCTGCCCACACTTTCTCCCAACCTGCCTCATGCGGATGTCCAGCCTGCTGATAGGTGGGAATTGCAACCTTCT